CTTGGGTGGTCCAGTTGCTGCCTCACTGGCTTCTTCTGCATGCTTGGGTGGTCCAGTTGCTGCCTCACCGGCTTCTTCTGCATGCTTGGGTGGTCCAGTTGCTGCCTCACCGGCTTCTTCTGCATGCTTGGGTGGTCCAGTTGCTGCCTCACCGGCTTCTTCTAAATGCTTGGGTGGTCCAGTTGCTGCCTCACCGGCTTCTTCTGCATGCTTGGGTGGTCCAGTTGTAGAAGTGTTTGCTCACCAAGCTGTAGTCCGGGTTCAAATAGACACATTTATATAAGGCCCTGTTAACATGGTTAGGCAGATAACAGTTTTTGTCAAAGCAAGCTGATCTTAAAGGGTTCGATCACTTTAACGAATAAAAACAAAACAAACAACAGTTGATTAGTTTGCAATGTATATTCACTCAAAATTGGTTAAAGCATGACAATTGCTTAATCACTTCCAATTCTGAAATTTAAGATCATAAAACAGATTTAGACGATCACCTGAATATTAATATCATTGATTTCTGTGCGGAAACACGTCCCTTCAAATATCACATTTTATCTTATAAAATCAAATCATTGAACAGTGTGTAAAAGATTTTCTGTTAATCTTCCTGTCGATCAGACACTGAAACAGTAAGATGGCCAAATAAAACTTAGGACTGCCTGCTTTGTACGAATCTTAAGATACGAGGCACACAGGATTCCAGGAGACCGCGTCAATACGCCCCTGTGACGCCGAGGCTGGGCATCACACGCCACAACATCGGTCATGGGGAAACCTTTTTTTCTGTCTGGATGACAACCTACGGTATTTATAAAACAGTAACCATGGCAACACATATTCAGGTGAAATATTCTTTAAATGGCATGAGTATCAACATCAACAGTTGGGTATTTCTGGCGGTCATATTTCATTGTAAACTCAACAAAAAACTTGAAAGGTTTTAAGTTCACCTTTCAGTATTTTTTATATTCAATAGCGACCTTGCGCTGCTGGATCGGAGTTCTGAAGCATACAACCAGTGTGAATGGGGTGAAAACAATAGTCATTGAACATATACTACTCAAAAGAAGTTAAAGAACTCTATATTTTTTTCATGACTATAGTTAAACATGATCTTGACAGATTAACTGTCATATGAAAAAATTGGGTGTTCTTTAACTTCTTTTGAGAAGGATGAATAATGATACTGCAAGTACACAAAGATTCTAATAACTTATTATCTAAGTTCCTCTCACAAAATAGGACATAGACAATAATAAATACATCACTTTCCAGAGCCATGAGAAATAGTTGGAGAACATCTCTCTGCAATGACAGACTTGCCCTCCACAACGTGGGTCTCTACTTACGTTGCAGGGAGGGAGTTGGGTTCAATGCTGCTTTGAACAACATTTCAGTTACATCAGCTTAATGTGGATGCGGCCCGAAGTGTCGCAGGTCAGACTTTTATTGGTGAAACTACACCCATACTCGCAAACCAAGAATAATAATCGGAGCAAACCGGGATTCAAACCTGGGATGAACAAACCCTTGACCAAGGGATGCAACTCTGCACAGCAAGTTGTAGTGTCCTGACAGTCACCCCGCCCCTCCCCGATTTGTGATTACGGAACTTCACAACATGCATTGGATACTTTCATACAATAATCTACCAAGTGGTAGCATCAGCAAGGCATTCTGCAGCACCACGTTGCCCTGGGCGACACAGTCAAGCATTCCACACATCACTGTCTCTGGTTGTAATCTGTCAATTCATGATATAGCTGTCTCCATGACAACCTCAGAAATAATGCTATGCATACTTCTGCAGAAGTGTTCAAACTAAAGTCGCAATAGGTATCCATAGGACTCATAATAGCAATTACTTCAAGTCCAGATTATGATCTATACCATTCAAAACAAGACCACCCGATTCTTTCATATAACCATAGTTAATGTCATGGCATAACCATCTTCCCGAGGCAAGAGAGTCAACTGACTATAAAAGTGCAGTTTCCACCCTTGCCGAACTAGGCTGGTATTATGGAGTTACATTTTGGCTGGACTAATGAGTCTGTGCACAGTCCAATCAAAATAGCGCACCAAAATCAAAATCCGGTTCGTAAACCGTCGTGCAGATTTTGGTCGATTGCATGATTTGCAAAGCATGTGCACCACCAACTCGTTGTCAGCAGATATTTTCCAAATCTTTTCATGTTTTTAATCAAGGTGCTCTCATGATTTGATGCATTTCGCGATGTAAGACCCGTTTTATCACAATATAAATCTTGATTATCGACCAGACTGACTGGGCGCCACCATTTTGTGTGAAGCAAACGCAAGTGATACGAGGTGGATAATCAGGTGGAATCTGATTGGTCAATAGGAGAGGCTTAGAAGGGACATAGATGGTAATAGCCACTGGTGGCGCTACGATCGAGCCCTGGAATTCCTCGGGAAGATGTGGTTTAACAGACTAACTATAGTAAAATGATAGAATGGGGTGGTCCTTAACTTTTTTTAGTAGCATTAATGAGTTTTCAAAATTTAAGATTAATTTCAATAAATTTTATCAAATTTAAGGCCTTTTCAAGGCTGACTAACGAATACCCTTGCATGGGGATAAGAAATGAATTTGTAAAGGGCCGGCCATTTGTCCTCAAGTATAAAAACAATTGTTACTGGAGAGGCTTGATTTTCTGAAAATATTGTCTTGTGAGTCCCAAAAGTCCTTTACATGTCTTGAATAAAAGACTGAACAAATGTTCCTTTGGTCATACAAACCCTAGCCAGCACCCATCAGCTTCTGCTACCTGGGTTGTCCGTGTTGCCAATATGCAGTAGATTCTAGGTGTACAACTGATAGGATTGAACTCAAACAACAAATATGTGCTGTTATTATCATGAGATATAGAGATTGTTAGCCCAGTGTGTCTTCATATCATAAGTATATGTCAGGAATAAAAATTGCATTATGCCAGCCTTTGGTGAATGTAGTACATATTTTATATTCCTCAAATATGATATATGTGATATGGAAGCACACAAGGGTATAATCTCCTTATCACATAATGTCATTCTTGAATTAATCAAAGTTGAAGCCATACTGCTATTCACTTCAGTAAATTCAGATAAACGGTGTAGGAATATAAAACCTGAGTGAACCGGCTCATGTAATGATGTAGATCCAAATGATTTGCATCCATGGCTGTTTACAGAAGTAAACGTAATCCGGAAGCCACGATGTAATCATTCAGGGAGCGTCATAAAATTATTGAGAAAGTTTACCCCACATTGATGTACAGAGCTCACTAAAAGTAGTTCCTGCTAGATGACCTCATTTGCATATTATTGAATCGTGACAGTGTATCTGATTGGTTTATCGCATCTATAACAGTATCCATATGATGAATCATCACACACATAATATTAAGGTCTATTCACATTCTCAGTTCTAACCCTGATTAGATCTATTTCACGTATCATGCCATCATCTACCCATGACGTACATTTCGAACATCTTCCTGAGACAAGGGAGTTAACTGACAATGAAAGTCCAGTTTCCACCCTTTCCGAACCAGGCTGGAATTTTGTGGATCGATAGGAGCGCCACCAGTGGCTATTACAAGTCATGTTCCTTCTGTGTTCGCCATGTTTACGAACTGGATATTGATTTTGTTACACGATTTTGATTGGACTATGCAAAAACTTGTTAGTCAAGCCAAATAGAACACTAGCCTATTCCGGCAAAGGTGGAAACTGGACTTTTATAGTTAGTAAACTGCCTTGCCTTGGGAAGATGCATCTGTGATGAATCTTGATGGTAGCAACACCACCCAGAACATAGCCACAAACCTTGCTGCAAAGATGCTTGCATCTCTGTTGTCATAACATTCATAAATAATGAACCAAAATATCCAGGGCAAACGGGACTCAAGTTGCCATTTGCAATTCGAGAAAGATATACAACCCTAAATATCTGTGTACATTACTGATAAAGATCATAGACCCTCATGTACACGGGCCCTCTCCCCTCTAATCAGCAGCCACCAGTAATTAATCACTTGTCCTTCAGATTAGTTGTCTAAAACATGGGATATCTTGAATAGTAATAATTTGGCATATTCTTAAAAGATATAAAACTTGTATACCTCAACAGGGCCTCAGCAGTGAAGACTTTCAGGTTAAATACATTTTGTTCATAAATCTTGGTAAAGATAGTTATTTGTCCTCATAGTGAGAGAGTTGGGTTTAACGCCGCTTTTAACAGTATTCCAGTTACATCACGACATGTCAGCTTAATGTGGGAGGAAAGCCCGAAGTGATGCAGGTCTCAGACGTTTACCACTTCAGTGAAACCCACGAGCACGGGTATGGTGCTGACAAACCTAGAAACATAATCGGGGCGAACCGGGATTCGAACCCACAATCATAGGTTTCTGGCATGCCCAAGGGACGAAACTCTGCATAGCGAATCGCGGCGCCTTAGACGACTGGGCCACCCGTGCCCCCTATTTGTCCTTATAAAATACGAAGGGACTTGCTGAAGAAGTGGATGTGGCTGTGCAATGGCCTTACATGCTGTACTAATAAACCCTATTTTAATGTTTACTTTTAAAAATATACTACTCAAAAGAAGTAAAATAAAACCTGATTTCTTCCTGCAACTAGAGTTAATCTGTCAAGGCTGTGACAGATTAACTATAGTCATATAAAAAAATTGGGCGTTCTTTAACTTTTTTTCTGCAGTATATTACCAAAAGGATGCAAATCATACAAAACAAAAAACAATCCTCTTGGTTTGATTTTGTAACGCACTGGCTTCTTAAAGTCTCTACCTATTCTAAACTCAATGAAGTGAAAGACGTGTTTCCTTGTCTGATCATGTTTTCTGAATCACTGTTGGTCTTAATAAGCATCTACAAGAACTCAACCAAATACATTTACATTAGAGGTACCTTTCTAGGGCTGCTTGGAAAAAGAGAATTGTGAATGGCTCTTTATCAGGAAACAAGAGGCAAGAAAACATTCCCGTGAATTTTATTTGATGTAAAATTGACATTTGCATTGTGCATAGCCAATGTCTTATACAACAGATCATTCAGGACTTTACTGTGCCTTACATCACTCGACCTCCCTGTTGTCATAGAAACCAGTATATATTGTTGAAGATGTTGGTCGCCCTGTGATGGGCTGGGAAACTCATCCATGCACATTAGAAACACTTTGGTATAAAAGTATTTTATTTCTGCTTTTTACAGTTATCCTAGGTCAAAATCTCAAGATGCAGGAGGGCCCCAAAATAAATAAGCAAAATAAATGGACTGCAAATAAAACAAGACAAATACTAATTACAAACATATGAACTCACGATAATATTTTGACAAAGGTCATTATTGTAGTTTCATCAAGAAAGGTTTTGAATAAATATCTGAAACAAAATTAGTAACTTAAATGTTTTTAAAAAGCCTCCTACACTTCATTTTGTTTCTTATTTTCTTACTGTCACCTCATTAGGAACACAACTTAAAAATATCACAACCTGGGAAACAATTGTAATTTCACACGAAAAAATCCTGGTCAGCTAGTGAGGGGACAAATATTTTTGGTCTAAATATCTGACCCTGCAGCCTTGAGTGCAGTGTTGGTCCTGCATCTCTCCAGTCTTCAGTGTACTTATTGTTTGCTGTACCTTGTATTTGGTGGTGAACACAAGCTAACAATCAGAAAACAAAAGTATTTTTTCAGATTCTCCTTTACTTTTCAACAAAATTCAACACTTCCTAATTATTATTTTACTATGGTTTCTAATTGACACAAACTAAGATGGTTGTTTGATGCCACACTCAGCAATTTTCCAGCAATATGACGGAGGACATTAATTAATATGCCTGTTTGACATTGAGACTAAACTCAGAAGTACACCAGCAATATGATGAGAGTCATTAAATAATCAGGTCTGGACCAGACAAACCAGTTATTGATATTTGCAACATCCCTGGCAACCACCCAATCCACATTCTCGCCTTTTACAACAAACAGTTCGCTGGGGATGTATTCTAACCAGGAATCCCCATGGACTGATACCCACGGTCTGACACAAACTGAGATGTATGAAGAGCTTCCACAGCAGGGAGATAGAGGTCTGCCAGAGCGCAATGGGAAGGCTACATGAAGAATTCTTGTATCACCATGAATAGCATCATCTCGAAACACATGCAGCTTGATAGTGGAGTACCAAGATAACCCCACAACAAGGTATCGTCTTACACAGCTGCTGACACCATATATGACCAATACTCGCCAATGATGACATTCTGTTCTGATAAGCCAGCAGAACACAGGAACTCAAGACATAAATTTGGTAGTATTGTGATATGCATCGTATCACCACCTCTGTATTTGATACGGATCTTATTACAAACCTTCCCTTTGAGAACACACCTAGATATGACCTTTATGTTCATCAGCTGCAGCTGCAATGTGGTTTTATCACCTGGACAGGGATCATTCAAAAGTTGTTTTCTACACATAAAATCAATAAAACTGTTGAGACTGTCCCCTACAAATACACAATGCAAAACTATTTACAATTATACACAGATATCACAAAGATTCCATTTGGAACCAATGATCAACAGGTTCCTGGTAGTTCACACGTAGGTTACCGGCGCTGGTGATGCTGGTTGTGCACAGTTACACGTTGGTTACGGTTGCTGGTTTTCCTGATACACGTAGGTTACCAACGCCAGTGGTTCCCTTGGTCTTACTGCATGGTTTTATATATGCACACTCCATTATGCAAATTACATGGGACCACTCAACAAGTCACCGAAAGTCAAAGTGAGGCTTCAATGTCCTTTTGGAAACTAAGACTTTCTTATTGGAATACTCTATGACAATTCCTCTAGTTCGGATTTCTGGTTTTTAATGATGCTATATTAATTGATCGTCGTAGTACAGCTGCTGACAATATTTCCTTGGTACACTATCAGGACATTAATATATATACCGGTATATATATCATGTAATGTATCAGTTCCCTGGATTATTTGACACAGAGATCCATATAAATACACAGGTTTCACAATGTTTAGTTTATCTTCATCATATTGACATATTTTCCTCTCATTGTAACCAACAATGCACACTAGAAACCATGGTAAACAGGTGTGGGTGTAATATAAGCTATACGCCTGGACCTCTTCATTAAAGAATGAAAGGTCTTTCACTGGGAAACTCAAACCATCTTGGTGGGGCTTAAAATGGAAAATAATTTGAAAAAGTTGAATTTGAGTTTTACGCTTTCACGGTCTTCCAAACTGGCTGCCTGGGACCAGCTGGTGTCAGCCTGGCAGAGTGGGTCCACCTTCTCTATCTCCCGCCCCCCCATTCAGTAAACCTACACAACCCCATGATCTCAAATTACATCCCCTTGATTTTTATTTGCCAGTTTGACATGCCACACTACTCAGTCTCAAGGGACCAAAAAGAATTACAAACCAACCTCAAAGATGATATCAACAACATGGCAGTTAGCCCTATTGATCACTAAAGAGTTTGCGAGTTCAACATTAAAATACTGACTGACACTCTAAAAAAAGAAGTCAAAAATATTTTTTGTTCGCATATATGTTCGCATGTCCATTAAAACTGACGGTGTCTAGGCAACATGAAATAAATCTTTTATCCATTTCCTTTTTTACTTATCTCGAAAAGTGTTTATTCGGTAAAATGTCATTGAAAATCAAGGGTGGGTAATTTGAGATCATGGATATGGATCCGAGGGGTGAGTGTAGGTTTTCAAAATGAGAGCAGTGGAGATCTAGAGGATGAATGAAATGTAACAACGGAGCAACTGGACAGATGACGAGGTTATCTGCCCTGTCCTACTCATTTACATAAGATAGATTTCTGAATCAAATCTAATCAGTTTCTGCTGTTTCAGGACGATTAGAAACAATCATGTTGTATTGTGTCAGCACACTGCCTAAATTTGACGTTAATCTGAGAAACAACTACAGGTGTTCACAGTGTGTACATATTTCACCTGAAAACTGCATAATCTGTAAGAAACAGCTGCTGGTATTTATGCATGGTAACCATGGTAACAGAAAGTGAATTGTTTCACATCAGACAGAATGATCACACTAACATCGGCATAACATAATGTTGAACTGGGTGGCAACAAAGGAGGATTCATGGCATACACTGTGTTGTGTTGTGTTGTGTTGTGTTGTGTTGTGTTGTGTTAATGTTGAGGTATGCGGCTATCAGGGCAAAGGTCAAGTCCAGATTTTTTATTAACCCTTCTTTAGCAAAAATCCTGGTATGCAGCTGGGGAAGATACAAAACAAATCAGACATTTCAGTTAAGTTTTTTTCCAGTCAAAACCTTACCTGAATATATGTTGTCATGTGTAGGGTGCTAAAGAATGATCTCACCACTAGGTCTTGCATTCTAACTTATTGTATGCACATGTTTTAGGTGAACACAAGTCAGCATTCTGCAGAATAATAAACCTGTTCAGATAATTTCATTTACTTAACATTTTTTTAGCGTAGCTGGAATCTGTAAGCCAACTGTAAAAGCAGCCTCACCTTAATGTAGATTGAGGGGTAATTTAATAGAAGTCTTACAAAAAGACAAATGCAGGTTGGCCAGAACCACAGCCGTAATTTCAAGACCTACCAATAGCAATATAAACCTACTGGGATACAATTTGTTAGGGGATATATATAGTGCTCTATTATGTTCTTATACCATGACCAGAATTAATAACAATTAAACATGTATGTTTTTTTCCATCTTTTGTACTGACAAGATATAAACCTGACTTAAGTTTATATTTTCTGACAACAGCCAAAAAAAAAAAATGGCTAAAAGGCTTTGATTGTGTTTCATTATGAAAACTAATAGCTCAATCCTTGTCCAAACAGTGATTTGTCTGAATAAAACATGGTATGATAAATCTTATAAAGTGTATGATTCACCAAAAGAAATTAAGGGGGGTCCTGGGGTCCTTGAGTTCGCTGCAACGGTTGTATTTAATCTATATGAATCCCCCCTAATTCTTCAATTTGTAATTAAGGGTGAGAAGGACCCCTTGACCTCATGCTTAATTTCAAACACTGAAAGGTATTTGAAAAACGGAAACGTTTTACGTAATAACAACCTTACGCCCAGTAAGATTAGTAACCACTGTAGATCTTTTTGCACAAGTACGTAACCATAGGAACAAATATTAGATATCACATCAAAACTACACATAAACACATTTCATGGTGTGGTCAAATCCTCTTTGCAAACTGTCCCATCCAGTTCGCCCATTTTGATACCGTGAACACTGAGGTTATCTAGTATGCCCAAGAACACATCGTTAAGACAGTGTTGGGAGTTTATTATCAGGCTCAGTCCCCTTCATCCACATTGTACGAAGGTAACTGCAGAGTGCAATATCCTACTCCGGTCAAGCTCCTAGGCAGGGCCCCGACTGTCTCCCAAATGCCGGTGTATATGTCATACTTGGACACCAGCTTCTGTCCCGTCTTGGTTTGTACATTGTAGCCCCCGAGAACATAGATTTGGTCATTGTACACTACACATGAAGCTTCTTTATGTGAAATAGACAGAGGTGCTATAATTGTCCATTGGTCTATGGCAGGGTCATAGCACTCTGACTGCATCACTGGTTGTGCTTGCTGATTCACATTTAAGTTGCATCCCCCAAACACGAATAATTTGTCGTGTGTTGCACACATGACGTGCCAACCACGTGGCGTCAACATCGGCGCCATGTCTTCCCACTGGTTGGTCTGAGGGTCATACCGCTGCATATCGGGTGTAAAATGGTTGCCACTGTAACCACCTGAAATATAAATATGGCCGCTATAGACTGCCCCTGCATGGGCGTGATACGACATCGGCATGGACGATATCAACTCCCATGTGTTCTCTGCAGGATCATAAGCTTCGGCTGTTGCAAGACTGCCATCTTTGAACTTTCCTCCCACAGAATATATTTTATTGTTCAAAGCTCCAGCAAAGAAGTATGCTCTCTTGTTCAGCATGGGGCACACCTGAAACCAACTGTCAAACCGTGGATCGTATCGTAAAACTGAGTTCACAGCAGATTCGCCGTGGGCACACTGTGTCGTGCAGCCCCCAAGGACGTACAGGAAGTTGTTGTACACTACCACCTGCATATGACTAAGAGCACTAGGCAGGGTGGCAATTTCTTGACGGTTTAATAAACTGTTGGAAGTAATTTTGGAATCAAAAACTAAAATCTCATCATGAAGACAAGGATTGGGGTGTATTTCTCTTCCACCTACACTGACGAGTCGCTCGACGTACGACCGGAGCTGGACAGTTGAAGCCATGACGAGGGGTTGCGAGTGCGGCACAACATGGTAGTTGAGGGCTCCGAGAACCATCTGCCTCAACTCCGGGTTGGTCATCATGGTCTCAACCCGCTGTACATGCTGTACAAGGTCGGCGGGATTGATCAGGGGAAATCGGATCAGCTTCATGAGAGCTGGAGAGTGGTCTTCCTGTGACTGCGCTGCTGCTGCCGATGCTTGCGACTGTTTCAACCACTCCCAGGTGATGTGGAATATGTCGATCTCACGCTGGCACAATTTCTCACTGTTGAGACAGTTCAGCATTTGCTCGTATGTCAGCAGCTGCAGAGTTCCTTCTTTGGCTATCTGCATCAGATTCTTTGCTATGAACACATCAATCTGTTTCAGGGCATTGTTCATGCTGTACAGCTTAGCTGTGTTGATAAAATCATAGAAGTTGGTAGTGGTCATTCCACTCAGGAAGTTGCGTTCACAAAACTCAATGACCGGAGTAACCTGCAAATGGGTAGCAGCGGCGATGACGTCAAAGATGTCGTCCCCCTCCAGCGTGGTTGTCGAGGTGTAGATGACTTCAAGGACTTTCTCCAGACCTTTTGCGGTGATTCCCTTCAGCTCAATCTCCTTCTGTGTGCTCTCTCGCATCCCACTGGTGAACATGGATCGGAAGTAGTCCGAACACGACACCAGGATGACTCGGTGGACATCGAACTTGCGTCCTGAAACAATAGAGACCAATACTCCTAAAAACTATTCTAATCCATCTACATTCATATCTACTTAAATGAATTGATTTTATGTATTAGATTAATAATGACAGGGTTATGTATGTTCTTTGGAGCTGAAATTTCAGGGTTTTTATCTCCTGCAGCTTGTAATGAATAGGAGTTACCTTTGAAATTGGTCTTGTATACAAAATAATCAATTTTCTTCAGTTAATTCAGTTAAGCTAAAAGACCATTTCTTACATTAGAACAGAAAGTATTTGATAAGGAAGAAGAAGATTTCAGTAAGAGATAGAAAAAGAAACACAGATTTCAATCTCTGTCATGTTCACTTACTACAGTTCCCATTACCTTCTGCAATGAGAGTAACGTCACACAGTATTTTATCATTCTTCAGCTTGTTGAGGCCTTGTAGTATTTTCATGCCATGTTCTGGCCTTTCCTCAACACGGAAAACCTCTCCATTTGTGGTTGTGCTCCCTTCCTGACCCTCGGCCATTGTGGCATGCAGTCGTCTCCTCTTGACCCCCTCAGCCTCATGCATTTAACATATCCTAGTAAACAGATCAAACCAGTCAGTTACTACATACATCAACAGGGCTGGCTATCGATATAGATTCTAGAGATCAATAATCGCCAATAAATATCAATCAATTATCAATAAATATTGGAGAAGTAACCGTCAGCAAATATGTATGAAAGAAATCAAACCTGTCAATTTCCACATTTATCAACAGGGCTGGCTAACGATATAGATTCTAGAGATAAAAAATCACCACTAAATATCCATCAATTATTGATAAATATCGGAGAAGTAACTTTAAGCAAATATGCGCTGCAGTCCAGATAAATCAACATATGTCATGTCACAGGTGAGCAGTGATTGTTTTGTGGACATTTGAGACATAACAAAAACAGTTGTATTCCGTCCTCGACAATTGACATTATTGGCAATAACAAGTCTGTTTGAGTAAATCTAAACATTATTTCATCACAATAGTTTATGTAAGTTATTATCAATGATAACAATTTTATGTCAGAACAACATTTCGCAAACTCTGACCAACCAATGAAATTACTAACAGGGAGTTGACATTAGCCACTAAGAAAGCAGCTTTCTTAAGCATTGCAACACTAGTTTCGAAGTTGCATCTTCCATTCCAGACTATGCTTTAAAAATTAGTCAGTTTTGAATCAGTCATACAGTCCGTAACAGTAGTTTTATGTTTAACGTTAGTGGTTGCATGATTAGAAAACATATTCCGCTGACAATGTAACACAACAATATGAATATTTCCTTTTCCCACTTTTGTTCGTTTCATTATCTATCGTGTAGTTGTCCAATTTTCTATCACGAACGTTTGTACTACCTAATTTTGTTTATCCGACATACTCGTTAATCCGACATAATCATATACAACCAACAATGTCGGATTAACAGGACTTGACTGTATATCATATGAACACTATCACGCTGTAAGTAGTTAAAAAATTTGAGCCTGCAAGTTTTGAAAGTATGAATCAGTCTGACAGACCAGGGGGACAATGGTTGAAAAGACAAATGAACGGAACCATGGTAACCAAATGATGGATCAACTTGATCAATAAATTTAACCTATTTCACTGATTGTCTCTAAACCATTGAAGTATTGTTACAAGTGGCTATGGCAAAAACACAACAATAACGTCAGTCTTTATCATGTACACAGGCACACTGTAAATGATGATTACGAGTGAGTATTGTTTTACGCCTCTTTTGGCAATATCACGGTGGGGGGGACACCTGGAATGGCCTGCACCCATTGCACCCATTTGGGGAATCGAACCTGGACTTTCGCTTTAAGCACCATGCTTAAAGCAAAGGCCCCTTATCATTCTGAAACTTCAACATTAATCAATATTGTACATGAAATAATATGCCAACTTTCCATTACCAAAATACCAATGAAGGCTTGGGTTCTCTACATGTTTTAAATTTCTGGTGCCTTCCACCATGATCTTGCTTGAATATTATTAAAAGTGGCCAACAAACCTTACTCACTCACTAGAACTGTAGAAGACATTATACAGGACTCAAAATAGTATTTTTTAGCAACAGAGTATTTCTTGGGGAAAAAACACATCAAAACTCATTATGGCGTAAAATGCACGCCCTTCTCTACACGCGTTTTTTTACAAAGAAAATTGTGCACTACATTCATCAAAATATGGTTCTCACATGTTATTATTCACTTTGGGTATTGATAATTTCCTTTGTATAATTGTATAATTTCAATACAGTTTATTCCATTGAGTCCAGTCTATTGGGTATTTTTGAACATGTTAAAGCTGTGAGAGAACCTTTCAAACACATAATTCTGCTTTAACCTCTGTTTCAGGTTCATATGCATCTGTCCAATATCTCAAGATCTCACAACAGTGATTCATGCCCAAGTTATAATATGCTAGACGTAGCACTTTTTAGCTTTATTCTCTGCAGTCAAGTTCATAATACATGATGCCTGTATTCAATCAGTAAGAAAGGATCTGTAAAGACAAACAGGCGCAAACTGAAAAGGCTACATTGGGTAATTATGCACAGTGCTGTTACACTATGGCAGTATGGGGTTTGTTAATTTGTTAAATGCATATTTGTATGCAAGCAACTCAAACTCTAGCGGGTTATAGTGATTTATTATGCAGATTTTATGCAAATATGCCGATTATCTGGAACTCTCATCATACAACCAAAATGGGTTCACAACGGTCTTCTGTATGAATGCTTTTCTGAAGAGTAAGTTTATGACATTGAGTAATTGCTCTGTCCTGCTCTGACTGGGGATATTCAATCATTGACAGATCAAACAAAGCAGTAAGTAGAAAGGAATGTGTTGAATTTTTAACTGTGCAAAACAACCCAACAACCCACACCTTTATCAGATGTGTCTATTTCAGAAAAAAGGGGAATTTCCCTAACTAATGTCATTGATGGGGATTTCCCCTATTTCTAACAAATCTGTGGATATAGTGTCCTCTAAAAGGCAAATGAAGTTATTTGAGCAGGCAGTACATTGCCATTGACCAAACCAAAGATAGTTGAAAACTGATCTTAAGGATTACAGTCCCAAAGAAGATTAGCAGGTATATTGTACAAAAACCATAGATCCAGAAAGTACCATTTTGTTTCACAGCATTCTCAAAACTTGATGTACGTAAAACCATACACATTTGATTCATATTTAACCTGCAAAATATAAGACTATTATATTAAATGCAAGGTAATAAGAATTAGACTACCATATAGTGTGACATCACTTGGGTTAGTAGCCACGCAAATCTGATGAGGTCAGAGCAAGTTGGGACGGAAGCTACAGACTTGACGACAAAGCAGCAGGTGCCCCTCGATCCTTCGTCTCACCTGTCTATCACTTACCAAACCTTTATAGTGTCTGATTCGATGGTCGCAATGTCAACAAAAACATCTCAATCAGGATCATGCACATTATTTTACGCTGTACATTTCCCTGGCTACAATATTACTTATGAGTTGCAGGAACGGCTTTTCCTGTAAAAACCGGAAGTAATTTACTGTTAAAATTTGCACATGCGCAAAAGCTGTTACGAGAGTCTTTCCTCTCGTAGTTGATCCGCGATTTCTCATGACATAGTTGTGAAATAGAGGAGATTCATGTAGCAGTTATTTTCCCGCAATATCTAGAAACATTATCAGAGAACAGGTTGGTATATGTTTATTTTCATAGAGTATGACTTCAGCTCAATATTCGGATAATTTACCCACATTTCTGTCACGCGTGGTATGGGCATGATTTCACATTGTTGAATATTTGTGGTTTTATATGTTTATGTGAAATAAATATGTCTATTTCATAAATGACACGTGAATGTTAACACCCAGGACGTCGGCTTTGTGAAATGTACACAGCAGATTCAATATGTTTATAATTCACAACACGAGTTTTGTGGCGGTTGTGGCTCAGTGGTAAAGTGGCAGGGATTACTGTTGCCTCGTGAAACGATAACGCGAGTTCGAATCTTTGCTCGACGATTTCAGATTTCTATTGTTTTGTTTTTTAAAGTGAGTCTATTTATTGCCGTATCTACACAAATGAATTTCATATTTTATAAAAGATTCCAAAAAAATTTTTATGATCATTTTTAGATATATATTTATAGATCAAGTAGATCTCACTTCTTACCTTAATCCAAGCAAATAGCACCGCTTATTAGAGCTGAGTACAGCACTTCCATAAAAACAATAAACAGTTGTTTCCTAAACGAGTTGGTCATGTTGTTAGAAGTATTGACCCCAGCAGTGATAACTGGCCAGATGCCCATTGTGTAATTCCTATTCTTTGAATGACATTGTTATGTACTTGTTACAACTGCTGCTCAATACATGCAATAAACAGTGTTTGTGCTTATATTCAGGTTGGTATTAATGCTATCCAAAGTGTGCAGTGAGGCCGTCTTATTGTTGATAGTCATTTTGGAGACATAAATGCGAAGTTAAATAATGCGAGCAAAGACCTCTCGCATTTTTTGCATTTAATTCACGCTCGCGTTAATTTAAAAAAATTAAAGTATCTGATTATCCTTATCCAAATTAGTAGTGTAGGTGATTATCATGTAGATATGCACTATAGTATATATCAAACACTAATGTTGTTTTGTTATACCTACTAATTGACTGTGTTTTCTGCCAGGATGTCGAGCAGCGCGTGCACCCAGTGTGGTTGTACCGACATCGACATTGATCAGGCTCGGGGCGATGCAGTCTGTACTAACTGTGGGTCTGTCCTGGAGGACCAGATCATTGTCTCCGAGGTGCAGTTCCAGGAAAACTCAGCAGGGGGTGCCTCAGTTATAGGCCAGTATGTGTCGCAGGATGGTGAGTTCTGCCTTTATTTGGAGGAACTATGGTCTTAGGGGTGTCCCCACTGTCCAAAATAACAGCCTGCCCGTGGCTGGTAACTTTTCTGTCGGACTGCGTGAAATTTTCCTCCATCTGTCAGACTGTCTGGCAGATAATTTTAGGACTACTGACGTATTAGGTTTTATTATAACTCCTCATAAATTTCAAGTAGTTGTTTCCATTATTTCAACTGAATCAAGATGCAATTTGTGACTTATTTTTTTCGATTTTTCAATATTTACAATGTCTGAATGTGGGCAGGTTACTTTGAAGATGGGCAGGCAACATTTATGGATCACCATCACTAAACAACATGCTACATCTGATTGCACAATACCATTAGAATAAGCCAATCTTAACAGATCATATGAATCATATGTGATGTAGGCCTATTGTGACCCTCCTAATATTTTGCTATACATGGAAACAATATTTTAAGCTTAAATTGTTAACCTTGTATTTTTCAACACTTGTTTTCAATTTATTTCTAACCAGGAACCAAGTCTCAGGGTCTGGGAGGATTTCATCATGGCTTTGCCAGGGAGTCTCGGACCATGACACTTCAGAACGGTAACTTAACCTTTGTTGCCAGTTTTAAGTGTAAATATTAACTTCAATAACAATACAAAAGAGCCTTGGGGGTAACAAGATCAAGTGTATTTAATGACATGAACTTGACAACATGACACGCACGTTATTTCTTGGTAAAAGGAGGGAGAGTATGATATAATGAGTATTCGGTGTCACAACTGTAATCACAAGGGTCAGTCTGCTGCGAGTTCAACTCCAAGCATAGTTGTAGCCACCTATCACTGTGGGGAGCTTTGACTAGTGGCAGCGATAGTATAGAGTAAACATTATCAGAAGGAATTATCTCCCCTTGACCTGGTCAATAATGGGGTTACTTTCCCAGAACATTGAATTGTCATTAAGCCATAGTAAAATACAAAGGAGTATCTACATAGTTGAACATACTGGTAAACATGGAAGATGGGAAAACAGACGTGCATCGTGATCCAGCTGAGTACGAATGAGTGGCACAGTCCAGTTATTTCCATGGATACATGAACACTGATGACGGTTTACATCTTCACAGTTAGGGAGCAGTCATTTAGATAAGTAAAAATAATGAACTGTATTCTTTGGAAACTAATCTGCAAGAAAAGGCCAATTATTATTTTTGCGAGGTATAGGTTATTTGTTTTCAGTAAATCAGCAGCTTGAGATTCCTGTTTTAGAAAACATTCCTTGTGAGAGAGTGGCATCATCACCTGGATAAGCATGTACATTTACAATACATCACTTCTTTGTAAAGGTAAGAAAAAGATCCAGCAGCTTGGTGCCCAGATGAAGCTGAACCAACACTGCATCGACACGGCCTTCAACTTCTTCAAGATGGCCGTCACCAAGAGGCTTACTCGGGGACGCAAGACGAATAATGTCATTGCAGCATGTTTGTATCTGGTGTGCAGAACAGAAGGAACACCTCATATCCTTTGTATTAATATGATATCTATTAATATTCCAGCTATATGACCGTGGTCTGTCATTGATTGACATCATGAGCATCAATTTATGCAACTGAGCATTCTTATGGCAAACATGGGTTGCTGAAGACCTATTCTCTACCCGGATCTTTATGGGGTTTAACATCGAGTTCAAGATTATTGTACTAACGATGTGTGTGTGTGTCTGCCTCATATGGTCAAACCACCGACTGTCCCCTCTCTGGGCACATGCTCTATCCTGTCTCCATAGGGTGTAACCAGGATGATACGACTTTTATTAAATACACATAAACCATGTTAAGTATTGTGAATCCTGGCTGAAACACTGTTACCATGGTTACTGTGTGTCCTTGTCATTATGTTCCTTATCTGCAGTACATATGTTGCTGGACTTCAGTGATTTGTTACAGGTTAGTACAATGTTTTATTCATGAGTACACAATGTCCAGCCCACTATTAGTGTCCCCAGTAATGATTTTTCTGCAATATTGAACAGTGCTTTATTCATCAAAAGAAACCTATGATTGTGGGTTCGATTCCCGGTTATGTTTCTAGGTTTGTCAGCACCATACCCGTGCTCGTGGGTTTCACCGAAGTGGTAAACGTCTGAGACCTTCATCACTTCGGTCTTAATTTCAATTCATTCACAATTTGCAATTCTACTTAATAATACTATTTATTCTTTTCCAACAGACAAATGTTTACTCCCTTGGTAGGACCTATCTGGCCATTTCCAAAGAATTGTGCATCAATATCCCAGCCATAGGTGAGTGTCCTTCTCTTCCTCCACACACCTGGGCCCACTTGCACAGAACAATCTTAGTTACAATCGATCTTAGGTGGCTACAATCAACTTTACAATCACCCTACAATTGTCCTATTCCACTTGCACAAACCGATCTTAACGCGATTGTAAGACGGCTTGGATTTAAGATCGCGATCTTAACTAAGATTGAAATCTTCAATGGTGGAGGTACAAATATCTTAAACTAGACTCCTGTCTATGGTTGTCTGCAAACGCGCAAATCTTGCTGCGCATACAACGTGTAGAACCGGTTACGACATACAACACGTACCTCCCTCCACGCACCTTGCACAGTTGAAAGGTCTCAACTATTTGAAGGAAACTATAATTAGAATGTTGGCATATAGATTTAGTGACATTCTTATTATGAAAGTAAAAAAAGAAAATAATAATAGATCTCTATGTCCAAATAACATAACAGGTAAATGTATGATCGTCATCTATTTGGGGGAGCTTTCCGTAAAATCCTAAATACATGTATATCCTTCATGTTTTAGTTTTGCCGCTATTACAAAGGATGTTATGACAACCTTTTCAAAACACAGTAAGACGGGAGATTTCAAGAATGCATGTACGGGAAATAAGAATAATGTTTCAAGAAAGAAGTTGTTTAATATATATTCATTTGGTATTAATTATATTTTTTAAAAAGTGTGAATTTTACTTTTGCTATTTATGGGATATTTTACACAAATTTCAAATGTCTCATCATGTGTATTTGCTTGTTTGATGAATATTTGTATTAGTTTCTTATAAATTCAGATATTACAACCGCTCGTGACTGTCCCACTCGATTTTGGATATAAACGTATGATTTTGCACTTCAACTTGTGTTTACTTGTAGATTATTTAATGATAAACTAAAGACAAAATAACTGACACGAATGTGACCCAAAAGATATACAAGGGGAGCTCGGCGGTTCTACAACATTAATACACTAACTGGGCAAGGAAGATTCTACGATACTTATACAAAGGGAAACCACTCCCATCTAGAATATAAACTATGATTAGCTGCCCTTGATTTATCTTAAAGGTCACGGACGTTACAAATCGCTTGCAGGCGACTTAGGTTTTATCCTTCCCTTGACAAGGTATGTTGTTTTAGACTTCTTTCAGCATTGACACGGGTGGGAATAGTACTTTTAACTATCGACTCGATAGTTATGTGGTTCACTATCGCAATTAACGATATTTTTTACGTTAAATCTGTGGTGCGGTCTTCGTGTTGTTGAAGTGTCGATTCGAATCATAAAATCTAACAAAATAAATAGGCAGTGTTTGATCGTAAAGCAGATTATTAATGTGAAACTGGCCCTGTCTTGCACGCCATTTTGTCAGGGACTACAACGATCTTAGCTACTTAAGATTGGTCTGGACCAATTGTAAGTTTCGATTGTAGCTTACAATGATCTTAACCTACAATCGCTTTGTGCAAGTGGATGACAATTGTAGCGTAAAGCCTAAGATCGCGATCTTAAGGATTTACAATAATTGTAGCGCTAAGATCGCTTTGTGCAAGTGGACCCTGGACAGTGAGAACTGTACTGGCTTGCATCACAGGCACCTGACAACTCCGGCCATCACTTTCATGTCAACCCTTGCATCACAGGCACCTGACAACTCCGGCCATCACTTTCATGTCAACCCTTGCTTCACCAGACCTCCATTGATTGTCATCAGAAGCATGGGTGGTCCAGTAATCTAAGGCACCTCAATTTGCTGTGCTGAGGTGTGTCCTTTGGGCATTTCAGAAACTTATGGTTGTGGGTTTGAATCCTGGTTGGCTCCAATAATGTTTCTAGGTCTGTCAGCGCTATACCCATGCTCGTGGGTTTCACCAAAGTGGTAAATGTCTGAGACCTGCATCACTTCAGGCTTTCTCCAATGTAAAGCTGACATGCTGTGATATAACTGGAATTCTGTTCAAAAGCAGTGCTAAATACAACTCACTCACTATAGCATATCGAAAGAGGCAACTAAGGTGGACTTTATGAGCTGGTTAATGGCAGGTTACCATACCCCAGTGATGGGACAGTGCTCAGTCTCCGTTCCCCCAGCCCAGAGTTGTTTTTTAACATGCTGCTGTGATGCAACTGCAGTTATTGCTGACTGCAGAGTAGACAAGACCAAAACAAACATCAATTCAATGACAATACTTTGGTAATGTATCTTTTGATATTTTAAATTCAAATGAAGCAAGGTTTGCGAGAAGTGTTAAAGAAAATTCAGTTTGTGTTTTGATTGAACAAACACTAGTATCCAGTTGTTGAGGTGAAGTGAAATGGAATTAAGGTCGCATTCAAGATTATTGCACTGGCAAGATGCATGCGTGTGTGTGTGTGGCTGCTTTTGCTAATGCCGATATAGTTCTAGCCCACTGAGATACCATGCCACAGTTTCACATGGAAACCCCATTCAGATACATTCTATTGACTCCAAACCGACCTGTCCAGTTTTATCCCCTTCATTCCAGATAGCCAGGCAGTACCATTGTTTTTTTTGTATAACACGGATAGCTTCGAACCACCATCCTTCCGCTCTCCAGGCAGACAGTCTATCCCCAAGACCGCAGAGGTTGTTTCACTTACAACTACTTAGTTCATGGTCAGCACCATTCCTGAGCTCATCAGTTTCACCAATAAGAATCTTGAGGCCTCACGCCTGTGTTTGGCACACATGCTGTGATGAAACTTACACACTTTACCAAGCAGCATAAAACCCAACTCACTCTCATTCACAGTCTTGGATCGTAGCACTAGTGCCAGGAGTGCACCTGATCTAAGCAGCGCTAGAAATTGGCACTAGTCCTAAAGTCTTTTCCAAACTGCCCAATAGTTAAGGTATCATAAGGACCAGTAGAAATTTGACCTTCTTAAGGGTTTTGCTATATGTTCTCATAATAAGGACTAGTGGACTAAAACTGTTAGTTTCTATCGCTGTTAAGTTGTCTTTGTCTGGGTCTTTGACAGCAAGATGAAGTCACCTGGGTTCCATTTATATATTTATTAGAGAAAACACGTAAAAAAGTCTCAATAAAAAAATCTTTATTTCTCATATACTAACAAATCAGTAGTACAGTCTATCAGGGTTTTAACCTTCAGGGATAAACTTGACTTCTGTTGATATTTTCACTGGACGTAGGTCATGTAGGTAACAACTTCAAAATGATTGTCGTTTCAAAACATAATTCTTTTGAAGGACAGGGTAGGTTGGGTAAAATATGAGGGCTTGTATAATCATTCCCCATTTCTCATGGCCTGATTGTCGACTAATTGGCCATATGTGATCAATGACAAAACAAAATGCCTCTCAAATGTAATTGGTGCTCTGAGAAAAGGAACAGGATTGTTCAGCGCTTATCATGATTACCAACATGGAACACAAAATAACAAATACTAGGAAGCATAGCAGCATGCACACACCTTACCATCTCAGTCATTTACTGGGGTAGAGCCCAGTCTGTGCCAAACTTGGCTTTTGGCATCATTTTTAGTAAATTTTAATATTATCAAACAAACTATTATTTGTCGATGTTAATAGACCAAAATGATTTTCACTAGACTCGGGCTACGGCCTAGTGGCTAAAGTTGCAGACTGACAACTTCTGTGTTTTCATACAACAGTTCAAGTGTTGGATGAAATGTATTTTGTTGCTATTATCATGAACCAAGACTCAACTTTTGAATTTGTATAACTTCTATACCTTAAGACTAAGGTCATTATGATTCATATTGACCCCTCTTCCGGATGCAATATTCATGATTTGTGACATTCAAAATATCCAGGTCTCTAAGTAATTATGGCACTGTTTGAAATATATCTTGTAATCAGGTAATATGCATACAGTTACTAAGTATCACACAGTGTCTTACGAGGTCTAGTGTCCAGCACTAGGCCACCCAATGAATGTGTCGATGCTGCAACACGGAAGCAGGTACTTCATAAAGTCTCTAACCAACAGTAAACAGTCTGCTGCAAGCCATTTCAACAACATTAATAGCAGATGAGACATCAGGGGCAACACATGGACATCACATTAATAGTAATACCCTGGGACAATACTTGAGGGGCACCTGCACAACAAAGTAACTTGCAGACATTTATACATGAAACAGGAACATGTGAAGCCCATGCTGGGGACGGTGACTGATCCTCATTGTACTGAACCTATTGGAGACAGGGGGACTGGTTTTGGTCTATTTGTGCACTTACATCTTACATCTCCCTGCAATTCTCTCACAAAAACTGTTTGAAGGGTTCCTTGTCATGACCCTTATGGTAAAAGTTGAAGATTTAGGGGGTACCTAGATTCAAATACTACCATACGACCTCAAGGCCACTCCCCCATAGATTTCGAACACTTAACCATTATAAAGCTTGATAGTGCTGAATAGTGCTAGCTTCTGATACTGCTTGTTGCTAACTGATCACTGTGCATGCTCAGATCTTCTGCACAATGATGGACACAATGATAAATTAGAGCAGGATTGCCAGGCACTGTACTAAAGAGATTCAGAAATACTTGATATTCAATAGATCTTACCACTTTATGGGTAGACACAAGGAGCTACATCCATCTAGTCTGCAATTCACTTCAGACCAGTTTATGCAATTTAAAAACACTACTGGTCCTTTCAGCTAGGCATGCCCTATAGAGCAGTGTTGAAGCCTGTATGTATATTATATCTTAAGGTATGATAGATGGTTAGTTATTCTTCTAATGGCAAGCGATTGTCAGCAGTAGAATATAAGCTCTGGTATCTGTCCCCCCTGCACCCCAGTCCCATTTGTGCTATCCGAGGAACACTGGAACTGAAATGTGACCTTGCCACACTGCATCTCCGCAAGTCCCTCTTGACCAAAGTAGCTGAGCTCGGCACCGTCCAACACCGCGCTGGCCGTGTAATAGATATCTGGCTCTACCTGGATTGGGTTGTCAAATATCACAGGAAATGTGTTACTCGATCCATCAGATTTAAATCGGGTTAAATTTTGACCAAGAATTAGACCATTTCTTTTCAGTTCTATTTTGACTTGATACCCCGAGGCCCCATTGCTGGAGCCATACAGTCCAAATCCAGCTACAAAGACTCTGCGATCAACTGCAAACTGGATGCTGTCGCAACGCCCCCTGTACCTCCACTGGTTGCTGCGATAAGCAGAAGACTGAAACCGGTGAACCCTATACTGCTCAAGTCCTTTGCGATGTTTTCTGTTGAAGGGAAGCTTAGGTTTCACACGAGCAGTGAAATGAAGAAAAAGATCATTGGTTTCTTCTAGTGTGAGTATTCTGGACTGTGCTGGCCCATTTGCAAACTCCTCAATCGTCATAGCTGGCATGCGGATCAGATTGAGACAAGACCCTAGCACCAAGCGACAGTTATCTGGAGTTACATCCTGTTCCTGACGTCGACATTCGGCTTCAGCCCAGCGGGACACAGCAGAGAAGATATGGATTTCTTGAGCATTTAAGGTTTCCCGACTGAGTATAGTTTCAAGGGTCTTATAATCTATGTCTGTGAACCCGTCAGACTTTAGGGCTTCCTCTGCCTGAGCATCTATAACCTCCCAACATCTCTGCATAAGTTCCACCTCTTCAAACAGGCGACCTTGGCTCAGAAGGACACAAGCGTTGCGAGCACTGAGACTCGTCTCAAGGAAACGGACACAAGCCTTGGCTAGATGAGGAACTATGTACTTCTTGGCAGCGTACAGAGTCGACAGAACAATGTCAGCTTCAAGTTTAATTTCATCACAGTAGAGATACCTGCAACAAGACAAGTTCATTTGTAGGAATTCACAGTTCATCAATACCATGCCTTACAAATCATCTTTAAGTAACACATTGATGGGTTTTCTTTTTAGCAATGTCATGAAATGTGAAATGGTCAGATGTGAACAGGTATCATGGTGAACGTCGTGAAGGGATTTACTGAAGTACCATAGATGCTGCTTCTTTGCATGATCTTGAATTTCACATGGCTTTCACTTCCCTCATACAGGAATCATTCATTTCTGATGTCAGAAAATGCCTTTATTGCTTAAACCTCATTGGTGAATTTCTGATTTAATTCTAAACATTTTACATTACATCTCAGTATTTAGTGCCTAGATCTATTTTGGACAGGACCAAAATGCACAAGTGTACAAGAGCTGTGATAGACTGACATGCAAAAATTTATCAACATCCATTCCTAAGGGTGCATTTTTCTCAGCACTTGCTCAAACCATGAAATGTAGAAAATATGCATCATAAGTAACAGAATCCCTGGACTGTGTATACCTTCAACAGCTGTCTACATACTGGTACATGAAGTGCTGCAGATTGCTCAAACCTGGCTGTATCATGCCTATACTTAATAGGCTAGGCTTGGCATGGGGCAGTCGGGAAGCCTAGTGGTTAAAGCGTTCGCTCGTCACGCCAAAGACCCGGGGACGATTCCCGACATGGGTACAATGTGTGAAGCTCAATTTCTGGTGTCCCCTGCCGTGATATGGCTGGAATATTGCTGTAAGCGGCGTAAAACCATACTCACTCACTCACTGATAGGCTTGGTCCATATTTTCACATGTAATTCGTCATTAAGCATGTTAAGCATCCAAAGAGATAATGAAGAATTGTACATAAATTTAGAATGATCAAATCTGTGCCGAACTGCTGAATCTACTAAAAGCCCTAACTTGATAGTAACTTGTCATCATTTACATTACAGTTTAGTATTAAGATGTAGAATCTGTAAACTCAAGTTACTAGAAAAGACTTATACTGACTAAAGTTGTAGACTGGAGAACTCAAGCTACCACCTTACCTGAGCAGGTTCCTAAAAGCTACTGGCTCTACATCAGGGATGATTATTTCCTCAGTCTTGTCAGCAAGGCCTCCAAAGAACATTGCAAAAAACACTGAGCTTCCTGTAGCAAGTACATACTTATGGGCAGGTATTTTCTCAACCACTGGTTCAGTTCCAACTACAAAATGGATGTCAGCCATGAGAGGATTGTTGAACATGACTGCATTTCTCTCTCGCACTGAAGTCTGTGTGGCTTGCCAGTTGTGTTCCTCGCTCTGTTTGGATGTAGGGAGGGGTTGGGGTGGGGGTGGCGGGGTGCGGCGGCTATTGGACACTGGTTGCCAGGAGATGGGGGGAAGGCAGTCAGGGGACCGGGTTTCAACAGACACTGGGGGTTGGGAGTTAAAGTTGGATGGAACTTCCTGATTTACTTCATCATCATCCTTGAGACGAGAAGCAATGCAGGACTTCATGGCCATTTTGGGTAGATGTCAATCCAGCCAAGCTGAAACAAGGATGCAGTTCATACCATTAATATTAGATAGGAGAACATAATCAGCTTAAATGAGATTATTAATGTGACATTCTGTTTCAAAGAAGGGCTTTCTCCTAGCCTGACGTCTGCATAGCTTTGTGCAGACATTTAGACTTAGTGGCTAAAGTGAAACATTGTCACAAGTATTTGGGCAAGCAACACCTGCAAGATTAAATGCATAAAACGACCACCAGGACCAATAAACAAGAAGAGGCTTCAATGTTTAGATTTATTTACATTTATGCATTGAATGTAATATTTAACATACCACTGAATTTCAGAAAATATGGACTTTTAAGACGACCCCATTTTTTTTTTTTTTAAAGTTGCGTTTTTTAAATATTTTATCTGTCTACGTCCCTGGTCTTTTTATAGTCTCTTTCGTACAAGAGCAAAGTCCAGAAACGACCTCTGCTACCCCTGTGGAAAATGGAATAGCAATTCGTTCCAAAACTTCAAATAATGACCAAGTAGTTCCAATCATTCAGAATTATATTAAATAAGTCCATTTAGTGCGTTTTGGAATGCCGAAAAGTGTCACTAACCTTTCTGTAGACAGAGTGGCTAATGGTTCCACAACATACATTCAAAATCATGACATAAGTGTTATATGATTTTGTTGTCTGCAAGAACTGAAGCTTGACCTGTCAAGTTCTAACCATTTTCAGTACCGTAGTCAGAGGAAACTATTTTGTGAGAACTATAAGATAATAGAATACTTACGCTTTTGAGAATGTTGTTTGACCTCTTTTTCTGTGATTTTGAAAGGGTTCGACACACGCAAGATGTTTTCCCCCCACAACTTTCCTGTTTACGTCTTTCACATCCCCCGACTGCGTATCCCATAATGTAGTCTAAGGGAGACAACCAGGGAAACGCGTTATATACCACTAGTGGTACTTCTATTGCACGAAGCGTCATTCAGTCGGCGTGTTTAGCGCATACACTATATAACATATTTCTGATATTTGTCACATTATATTCAAGTTTCTTGAAATCGCCACTGTGGCGATAAACAATACAAACAGGCTTTTTCTAACGAAAAATATGGACATAAAAAATGCAGTGAAACTGAAACATTGCTGCTATTTGGAAGAGAAAAAAACCCGATGTAGGCGCGGCTCTTATAACAGGAATGATATTTACAGTGGTTCATTAAGATGTTTGACATCATTCCGTGTCTTACTTGAGTATGTCGACCAAATGACACTGAGGAGAAGTCCTCTTTACAAAGTTCTCGGATTTTGGACAGTTTGGCTTGAAATACACTACTGAAAAACTAGGAACGATGTCTGTGAACGCGAATAGAGTGATGGCTATTATAAGTAAAATAAATACAGTTGGATAAATGATGGATGCAACACATGTACCTAGATACACGTTTAAGAGATTATGTTTGATGGTTTCGTGCTGTTTTCCGGAATTTTAAGCATTTTAACTGTGGACCGTTTCTTCTGCTGGGATCACTGAAATACTCCAGTCTTGATGCGAAGCCCGTCAGTCAGTTGCATATTGGAATCTTTGAATTGATAATTGCCGCAAATTCAACCAGAATACTAGCACGTCACTGCTACGGACGTCACCATTTTATGCGTGGCTGATAAATGAAGATTACAAGACCAAGATTGTTAACTATAAGCATGTACTGTTATTTATTATTGCTGAGTTAGAAAACCTACTTTGGCTGAAGGTGTAAGCAACGCGAAATCATTGATGTCTACACAAAGGCTTCAGGTAGAACGTACGTGTGATTGAAACATTCGTAAAATATATCAGTGGGGCTCAACTCCGCTGGACTCGCTGTCTTGTCCCAGTGTTAGGTGTTGTTTTGTTCGGCCTAATTACAGTGTTATCACATGTATACGAAAACCACCAATATGGTTAAAATATTTAAAGAAAAAGTCGACTGAACATGTATTGCCTGACAGTGGAACATTCTGGGTAGCTATCAATCATATTTCAGATATGCCTTCATATATACAGGTTAGGCCAGGATTCTTCTCTTCGGTGTTCAGATTTTGTCACACACAAAAAATAGGTTGTAGGTCGATATATAAAAAACAACATATGCAATTTTAGATGTTTGTTTTGATTTCCTTCAAATGTTGAGTAGGTTGGGAAAAGATGGGGGCAGGAGGAATAGTGATTCGTAATAGTTTGTTGTGTTTTACAGTTTTCAAGATACATTTCAGCAGGTTTGAATAACAGTATTTGTAATAAAGTATTTAAATGGAGACAGAAAATAGCATTTTAAAAAAACGAACATTTTACTTAGTTCTGGTCGGCAGAATAAAAAAAAGCCCACTGCTTTTCATTTAATTATTCCCATTACAGTTTTTGGGTCTGTGGATTCGTCAATCACATTTTAAGCAAAAGTCTGGCCTTTGTAGCGAATAGTTGACAGGCGTGTGTAAGGCAGTTGGGTATCCTTGTTGTTACAAGCGTTGGCTCATTTTGGGTACAGTATGTGAACCGCGAAATGCAGAGATACTTCTACATTGGGGGAAGAATCATAAGAGACTCCCTGGTAGATTCGTCAGCTTACCGTTATACGTTTCTTGACTCACGACTGAACTCCCCGACTTCCTTCCAGATCCCTGCCTGTACGTGAGCCGGTTTGCCCACAAGTTGGAGTTCGGGGACAAGACGCACGAGGTGTCCATGACGGCCCTGAGGCTGGTGCAGAGGATGAAGAGAGACTGGATGCACACGGGGAGACGCCCGTCGGGCCTGTGTGGGGCAGGTGAGCACCTGGCTTGTCATGCTGCAAGTCACCTGTTGTTCATGGCTAAGGCTTTCTGTTGCTGGTTCGCCCAGCCCAGAGCAGAGGGGTTCGACTGTCAAGAGGTTCATGCCTTGACATCGCGCCTCAGGGCTATGGTTTGCCTGGTCCACATTTGACAATATTCAGGTCTCCCTGATATATACTACTGAAAAGAAATAAAAGAACACCCGATTGTTTGATATGACTATAGTTAATGTGTCATGTCATGGCAGACTAACTTAGTCATATTGTTAATATGAAAAAAATGGGTGTTGTTTAACACCTTTTGAGTAATATAGATGGAATATTGTGTTAACTACCTGCACTCACTCCTGTATTGACTGAAGTGGACTTGAGCATACAGGTACCAGTGGTTTCAAGTACAACTGGTTGTGTAGAGTTGCATCCCTTTCAGATACAAGGATCCTCTGATTGTGGGTTTGAATCCCAGATTCACCCTAGTTATGATCTCTGGTCTCATGCTTGGGTTTCCCAATCTGTGTGAATCACTAGGATGATATACCGGTTTGTTTCTGTCCTCTGTTACAGGTTTAGTCCACACAATGCAACAAGCAAGAGAGGTCGCTTTTAAGTGAGTGAGTGAATATGATTTTACACCGCTTTTAGCAGGTTTTTTTTAGCAATATCATGGCAGGGGCTTCATCATGGGCTTCATACATATTACCCATGTCGGGAACCAAACCTGGTTTAACCACTAGGCTACCCAAGAGCCCCTCTCTTTTGTGACAATTCAACTGTAGAACATTCTGAATTATTCAGTGTGTCATATTTCTGTCAGAAGATTTTCTTCAAAGGTCCCATGTTGTTAATGGAACAGACTGGAGTTTGTCAAACCATATTTCCTCTTCCTATAGGGGTCAGTGAGGTAGCCCAGTGGTTTAAGTATTCACTTCCCCACATGGGTTCAATATCTTCTTGTGTCCCCCGCCGTGATGTTGCTGGAATATATCCTTAAAACGGCGTAAAACCAAACTCACTCACTTCTCTTCCTTCCAAAGTTAGACCCATCATAAATAATGTTTTATTTTTATAATTTTTCAGCTATCCTTGTGGCAGCAAGAATGCACAATTTTAGCCGCACAGTTCGAGATTTGATCAGAGTCGTCAAAGTTTGTGAAACCACAATTAGGAAACGGTAATTACTGACTTATTATTTAAGCATGTCTTGGAAGAAATTTGTCCATTTCAGTGTCCTAGTTGACCATCATTTTTGTAATACATGTACATGTATACAAATTTTTTTAATTTTCTACTTTAAAAAAAAAAAAAAATCTCTTTTACTGAAAATAGCCACCATTACATGTAGCCCCCTACATCCCTAGGTGACTGGGGGTAGTGGGGCATTTTCAAATTCTGTTTGAGAACATGTGAAATTAGCCTGTAATTAATCCAGTGCAGATGTTTACAGACTGACTGAATTCTCGGACACAGCATCGAGTCAGCTTACCATTGACGAGTTCATCAAGATAGACCTGGAGGAGGAGCATGACCCACCCTGCTACACGGAGAGCAAGCGCAAGGCCAAGCTGGCACACGTAGGTCTGGGGGAAGGGATACATGGGGGTAAGGGTAAGCACAGGTGCACTGACATAGGACTATAGATCCATGGGGGTAGGGGGAAGTGGGTAGGGGATGAGCACAGGTACTCCACCTGTAGACTGTGAAACATGTGGGACGTAGACTGTGAAACATGTGGGATGTAGACTGTGAAACATGTGGGATGTAGACTGTGAAACATATGGGACGTTGACTGTGAAACATGTGGGATGTAGACTGTGAAACATATGTGACGTAGACTGTGAAACATGCGGGCCGTAGTCTGAAACATGTGGGATGTAGACTGTCAAACATGTGGGATGTAGACTGTGAAACATATGGGATGTAGACTGTGAAACATATGGGACGTAGACTGTGAAACATGTGGGATGTAGACTGTGAAACATATGGGACGTAGACTGTGAAACATGTGGGACGTAGACTATGAAACATGTGGGATGTAGACTGTGAAACATGTGGGATGTAGACTGTGAAACATGTGGGACGTAGACTGTGAAACATGTAGGACGTAGACTGTGAAACATGTGGGATGTAGACTGTCAAACATGTGGGATGTAGACTGTCAAACATGTGGGATGTAGACTGTGAAACATATGGGATGTAGACTGTGAAACATATGGGACGTAGACTGTGAAACATGTGGGATGTAGACTGTGAAACATATGGGATGTAGACTGTGAAACATATGGGACGTAGACTGTGAAACATGTGGGACGTAGACTATGAAACATGTGGGATGTAGACTGTGAAACATGTGGGATGTAGACTGTGAAACATGTGGGACGTAGACTGTGAAACATGTAGGACGTAGACTGTGAAACATGTGGGACGTAGACTGTGAAACATGTGGGACGTAGACTGTGAAACATGTGGGATGTAGACTGTGAAACATGTGGGATGTAGACTGTGAAACATATGGGACGTAGACTGAAACATTTGGGATGCAGACTGTGAAACATGTGGGATGTAGACTGTGAAACATGTGGGATGTAGACTGTGAAACATGTGGGACGTAGACTGTGAAACATGTGGGATGTAGACTGTGAAACATGTGGGATGTAGACTGTGAAACATGTGGGACGTAGACTGAAACATGTGGGATGTAGACTGTGAAACATGTGGGACGTAGACTGTGAAACATGTGGGATGTAGACTGTGAAACATGTGGGATGTAGACTGTGAAACATGTGGGACGTAGACTGAAACATGTGGGATGTAGACTGTGAAACATGTGGGATGTAGACTGTGAAACATGTGGGATGTAGACTGTGAAACATGTAGGATGTAGACTGTGAAACATGTGGGACGTAGACTGAAACATGTGGGATGTAGACTGTGAAACATGTGGGATGTAGACTGTGAAACATGTGGGATGTAGACTGTGAAACATGTGGGATGTAGACTGTGAAACATGTGGGACGTAGACTGTCAAACATGTGGGATGTAGACTGTCAAACATGTGGGATGTAGACTGTCAAACATGTGGGATGTAGACTGTGAAACATGTGGGACGTAGACTGTCAAACATGTGGGATGTAGACTGTCAAACACCTGGGATGTAGACTGTCAAACATGTGGGATGTAGACTGTGAAACATGTGGGATGTAGACTGTGAAAGCGTGATGCATGTTTCCCTTCTCCACAGTTGGAAGAACACAACAAGTTCAGTGATCTCACGGCGGAGGTGAGCAGCCTCCAGAATGAAATTGAGAAGTCTCTCGAGCCGAGAAAACCCAGAGGAATATTTGCATCATACTCAAGTGAGATTAAGCTTTATTACCATTACACCTATGAAATAGTAAACAAATTAAAAACAGTTTGTGGCCGATTTCAGTGTAAAAGAAATTTTAGAGAAAATCACAGCCACAGAACACAGCTATGACACAACTGGACTGACTTTCGTCTACCTCTTAAAACCTGATATACTCACTTAAAATGGTGACTGAGGCCATTTTCCTCTTCTTTCCCCCAACTGAAGATGCATCATCAATTAATACTAACACATTTGACATTCAGAAATGGGAGACAAATGTGAAGAGAATGACGACGTAGTAGCCGCCAGTAACTACCTCGCGGAGGAGGCGGTGAAAGACGCAACAATCGACCTACTGGATGTTGGAGAGGCTGGTGACGTGAAGGACAAGACCTCGGTGTCACAAGGACGTCGGCTGGACGGGGAGGAGGGACCGGAGGTGGCCAAGGTAGAGTCTGACAAGTTGCAGAGTCTCACACGCCGAGAAGCGCTGACAGCGAAAGGGTTAACGCCATCGGCTGCCAGTCTGGGCATCAAGGAGGTGGTGGAGGAATGTATGAAGGAGGACGATGACTCAGGTGGGTGAGGGACAGAAACACCAAGTTTCAGATTTTGACCAGAAAATCCAAATTATGAGGACACGAGATAATTTACGTTTTATGAATTTGATCCACTAAGCCTTATAAATGAACAGTGTCGTGTTCAACCTAGAGATCTTAGTGCTAAGGTGATTGTAACTCCTATACTCTAACATGAGCTTACGATAGTCTTAGCGCTAAGATCACTTTGTGGAACAGGGCCTAGGAGGTAACCGCTATATGACCAGTGAATGACCTCTCCTCCAAATGCTTAATCTTTGAACTTTGTTTCTCTTCAGAGTCTGTAGTTATAGATATGGGAGGGGAATTGGACTTAGAAGGCATCAATGATGAAGAACTGGACTGGGTGAGTGTACCCCTTTCTTTATGGGGGAGATGGGTAGCCCTGTGGTTAAAGCGTTTGCTCACAGACCATATATTGGTGTATGGTCCCTGATTTACTCACCACACCACAAAGGAGACAATTTGTTAATATTATTTTTGTTCACCTCTGCTATTCTATTGCTGGAATATTGCTAACATATGTGCAAAGGCCGCTCACTCAATTCCATTCCATTTACACCTTGTTATTCTCCACTACTGGTACGCCTGAGCCGTGAGGGGTTCTGCCACTCTTTTCAGACTAAAATAAAATGTAGACGTATTTACTGGCTGCAGGATGATACTGTTGTATGTGTTAATGAGTCTGACCAGACAGGAAATAGTCTGAAGATGATGAGCCATTCTGTGAAGGTTACCTGTTTACTGTCTGTAGTTAACGCTGACATGTTGTGTGTAGATGATTCTGACTGAGGAGGAGGTGCGGGTGAAGACGATGGTGTGGATGAAGGCCAATGAAGACTACCTGAAGGAGCAGAAAGGTGGGACACAGTCAGTTTGGTGTAGACACATTCATGTTGAAGTGTTTCAGAGACCTAACACAACATGTTGAATTTGATTGTTGTTTAACACTGCACTCCAGCATTATGTAAATAATCGAGTCTGGACCAGACAGTCCAGTGATTGACAAGAGCATTGATCCACACAATTGGGATACGATGACATGCATCAACCAAGCCAGCGAGCCTGACCACCTGATCACGTTAGTCGCCTCTTACGGCAAGCAAAGGTGCCTGTTACGACAAGCATGAGTTGCTGGTTGGATCTTCACCTTACGAACATCATCCTAATCATTATCACAGTGTAGCGGAGAAGGAGTGGCAGAAGTAACATTGGCATCAGAGTTCTCAGATCACACGCAATAAATCACTTTTCATGGCTGCAATTTTCAGCATTCTTCTGTATTATTCTTGTGAGTTCACAGCACTGATGTCATTTAATATACTCATACAACAGATACTGTGGCAACGTATGAAAGTTTTATGTGGTAAATGTTTGTTTAGCAATTAAAGTTTAATTGACGATGACGGAATTAGATATGGAGAACATATGTCATGTGTTTTTAACAAACAAATCCAGGTGTGCATTGTTGGTTTGACATTTATTTTATTCGGTCATCACTGCACTCTTACCAAAACATGTAATCACATGGGAAAGACTGAAATTTGTGAGAGCCACTGATTACCCAACGGTTTAACCAACTCTGTGGTATTGTGAAGGCTGTTATTGTGAGGGGCGACTATTTGAAAGTGGAAAGGGACATTTTGACAAAAGAAAAAATGTCAAAATCTGATCTTGAAGTTTGCTGTAATTAGCAGGTATGTGTATAGTTAGGTGGTTATGTGGGGTGAGGTTGCTGGTCTGGCAGTGTATGTGCTGAACGCCATGCCTTGTTGCACGATCCCACAGATCAGGTCTATTCATGAGTGGTTTTCCTCTGTTGCAGAGAAGGCGGAAAGGAAGAAGCGGGAGGAAGAGGAGGAGGCGCTGAAACCAGAGAAGAAGGTAAGATGCTATAGGAGAGTGAGTGAGTGGGTTCTATGGTGTCACGTCAGCCTGTGGTCAGTCAAGTTCTGGATGAATACAGTCAGCCAGGTCACCACGAATGAGTTAGGGACCTAATCGTCTTGGGATTCCCAGTATGGATCTGTGATTGTGTGACACACAGGTTCTAGAGAAAAGCACAGCTACACAACAAGATATGACAAAACTAATGTGATTGTGTAAAATGACAAAAACGTTTTGTTGAAAGGAAGTATTTTACCTAAATCTTGATCAGCAAACAGTTAATCTAGCTTGATGTGAGGTGTAGTTTTCAACTGCTGTGTCATGGAAACATTTAGAACAAAACTATCTCTTGATATTCCAGAAAAAGCGTACCTACAAGAAACGTCCACAACAAACAGGGGAAGCCTCCAGTGCCAGAGAGGCCTTGGCTAAGATGTTATTAGAAAAGAAACTGTCAAACAAGATTAACTACGATGTTCTGAATGATCTCAACTGTAAGGCCATGAAGACCGAGTCCTCGACGAAGCTAGGCCCGGAGGTGGAGCCCCCTCCCCCCACTGATGTTGCCACCCCCGAGGTGAAGGTTTCCAAGTCAATACTCAATAGGTAGGGGGATATAAATGTTTTATTGCATCTTTCCCACAGTGGAGGGAATATATGGAGAATCTCACCCTAGTGTCTGTTGATATGGTGGTGGGTGTACTATCATGCAGATAGACCTTGTTTTTGATTCTCTGGGTACGTTGATGATGTCGTCTCTGTTTCAGATTTAAGAGATCAAGTGTTAACTTTGATGTGAAACGTGAAGCTCAAGAGGTAGGCACATTACTTTCTTTGTATTTCAGCCACCATCATATGGATGGAATATTGCTGACAACCAAAAATGTCAATATTTGAGGAAGTAGATCAGTCGATCAGTACACAGGACACACGCTTTTCCTGCAACGGACGTGGTATCTAATCTTGGCAGGGACAGCAGCAGGCCAGAAGTGTCTATCACTTCCTTGTCAACATGAGTTAGAGACTGAACCAGGGGAATTGTCCTTCTGTTCTCTGTTTAATTGTAACCAAATGCTCAGCCTTGAATAAACAAGTTTTAGATAAATCGTGAGAGCTTAGCTGTCATGTCAAGGGAGGGATGTGTGTTTGATGTAACAAGCCTCTCAAACAATGTATTCAGTACAGGGATTTGATGAAGCTATGTATAATACATTGGTTTTTCTAGTTGTATTTCTTGTTTTTGAGGTTGTGAGTTTGTATGAGTTTTGTTCCACTGCAGGACCCAGACACAAAGCGGGTGAAGTTCTCCGAGGACACGGATGTCAAGCCAGAGGTTGTCATAGAGAGTGGACCCATACAGTACGAGGCGAAAGGTGGGAGTGGGATTACTTGGGAGTGTTTGGTGGAGGATTTCGGGGGAACTGTGGGAAGGATTCTGGCGTGTCCTGGAAGCTGGTAGAAAGCATCGAGGACATCATGTCACATTGAATTCAATAGGAGCAGTATACCATTGTATCAAGAGTGGAAATTTATTTGTAGAAATATTTAACACTCACTAACTGTTTAACACTCTCAATAATGTGAGATTTCTGTTCTGTCAAGGAACTTGACTCTATTGGTCTTCTTGACTGTTTTATCTTTGTTTCTTTGTTTGTTCATCTCAAGCCAGCTGCCCCCCTCCTTACTCCTGACTTTAAGCTCCAGCTCCAGTAATTGCTTCACCTGATTAATAGTGTAATATTCCCTTTCCCACACGACACAAGTTATTATGTTTCTTCTTAGCGAGACAATTGTGACTAGGGCCAGAGTAAAGAGAATGTATCCTGTTGTGGATGACCCTGTTGTGGATGTTGCAGATTCTGCTGGGGTGTACAATGTTGATGGAGAGGAGGAAGGGGATTATGAGGAAGACGACTTCGGGGATGAGGAAAATGTCAGTGCAGCCCAACTCCTCGGACATGATGCAGGTAATGGGAGATACAGGTGTCTTTGAACAGGTGTCGTTATCCAGGTTCATTAGACAGGTGTCAATAAACAGGTGTACAACATTTCGGGAACTGTCTTGTACACCAGAAACACGTACCAGTGATGTGTGACAATTATTCCTGTTCTGTGAGCATATCCTAGTATGACACAGTCACATCAAATATTATCATGTAACATCATGCTGTCCAGTAAATCGACTTTGATGCGTTTGGACAGTGACTGCCCACTCAAATAGATTATATGAATAATAATAATAATATGTGTTTAATATTTCCTTAGATAACTACACTGTTTTGGTGTCTACATGTCCAACAATGACAAAGAGTGTAGGAGTCAATGTTGTATTTATTTACATTTAGTAAGCCTTTGACTTGTCTGTGGACAACTAAATACAAAAACCTTTGTTTTCTATCAGTTGAATATGCAGGGTTGGGCAGACAAGTATTGTTTGATACCATGTCTCACTCAACAGGTGCCCTTTGAGATCAGTATTGTTTGATACCATGTCTCACTCAACAGGTGCCCTTTGAGATCAGTATTGTTGATACCATGTCTCACTCAACAGGTGCCCTTAGAGATCAGTATTGTTTGATACCATGTCTCACTCAACAGGTGCCCTTTGAGATCAGTATTGTTGATACCATGTCTCACTCAACAGGTGCCCTTAGAGATCAGTATTGTTGATACCTTGTCTCACTCAGCAGGTGCCCTTAGAGATCAGTATTGTTGATACTATGTCTCACTCAACAGGTGCCCTTAGAGATCAGTATTGTTGATACCATGTCTCACTCAGCAGGTGCCCTTAGAGATCAGTATTGTTGCTACCATGTCTCACTCAGCAGGTGCCCTTAGAGATCAGTATTGTTGATACCATGTCTCACTCAGCAGGTGCCCTTAGAGATCAGTATTGTTGCTACCATGTCTCACTAAACATGTGCCCTTAGAGATCAGTATTGTTGATACCATGTCTCACTCAGCAGGTGCCCTTAGATCAGTATTGTTGATACCATGTCTCACCCAACAGGAGCCCTTAGAGACAAGTATTGTTTGATACCATGTCTCACTCAACAGGTGCCCTTAGAGATCAATATTGTTGATACCATGTCTCACTCAGCAGGTGCCCTTAGAAATCAGTATTGTTGATACCATGTCTCACTCAACAGGTGCCCTTAGATCAGTATTGTTGATACCATGTCTCACTCAACATGTGCCCTTAGATCAGTATTGTTGATACCATGTCTCACTCAACAGGTGCCCTTAGAGATCAGTATTGTTGATACCATGTCTCACTCAACATGTGCCCTTAGAGATCAGTATTGTTGATACCATGTCTCACTCAACATGTGCCCTTAGAGATCAGTATTGTTGATACCATGTCTCACTCAGCAGGTGCCCTTAGATCAGTATTGTTTGGTTTTTCAGATCGAGGCTATGAGGAAGAACAAGATGAATACTATTTGGATGATGACTGACACAAAGAGTGCGGTTCTTTTCTTCTTTCTGTGATACGAACAAAATGTTGTCAGGTCAACAGTTTCCGACCTGAACAAGCAGCTGGTCAAGAGAGAACCTATCCCAAGTGCTATGCCCTGCTTAGAGGGGGACCGCCATTGGGCATCCATCACTGGACTTCCATGTTTGCCACATTCACTTCCGATTGTGGATGTTGTCGTTGATGTCACCGCTACTTGCATCCAGTCATGGACATCGACATCAGGGATCAAGGCAGCTGTTGTAATCTACCATGACTGTCAACCTAGTCTGATGTTAGGGATGTGCAATGTGCTACTCACACAGGGTGTCAGGTTACAGAACTACCTCACGTTCCAGGCTCTGACTGATGCCAGCAAATAACCTGCAGTTTGATTGGCCATACCACAACTTCCATGACCCTTTGAATTCCATACCACCACATACTATATCACTACCCTGTCAATTCCATACCACCACATACCATGTCACTACCCTGTCAATTCCATACCACCACATACCATGTCACTACCCTGTCAATACCATACCACCACATACCATGTCACTACTCTGTCAATTCCATGTCACTACTCTGTCATTATCATACCATGTCACTATTCTGTCAATACCATACCACCACATACCATGTCACTACTCTGTCAATTCCATGTCACTACTCTGTCATTATCATACCATGTCACTATTCTGTCAATACCATACCACCACATACCATGTCACTACTCAATTCCATACTACCATATCATACCACACCACCATTAGATCACTACCCTGATCATACCATGCCATGCCTCTGTTAACCCCCCACCACTGCACTGCAGTATGGATGAGCCCGCTGTTGACACCAACCAGGTCATGGCCTTGTTTCCTACAGAACAATGACCACTAAAACAGCTGTGAACAGAGATGGCATCAATTTGTACTGCCATGACCTCCTCCCACTGCTTCCATGAACCAGACGGCCTTGTGAGCTTCGTCAGCTGACATAGGTCAAGTTAAGTGACAAATCTACCGTATTTCATCTTTTAGATGTACAGGCATCTATTTCATTTCTGTAAGCCGTTGACCTTGGGTATGTCAGAGCCCAACGTCTATTGTGTTTAATGTTGGCACAATGGTAGCACTTTACCTTACCAAATCCCACATTCTACAGTTAAACAAAGGCTACTTTTGCAGGATAGGGTTATACTAATTATATTAATCACCAAGATATCACAGTATTAAAGACCTGGTGTCTAATAGAGGCCCGGGTTCTATTTTTGGACAAACCAAATGACCTGGAATCAATTTCAGTCTGGCATTGTATTGAAGACATTGTCTAATAGAGGAAGTACGGTATTTTATGAATAAACTAATCGTCTCGTCTCCTGTACTCCTGTCTGGTGGACAAATGACAGCAGTTGATCATGACCCATAATTGTAAAATTGAGATCTGAATTGTCTGTCATCTAATTGTAGATTGTCCAAAAATTGAGAGGACAGGATTTGATGGAGGTTTGGTATATAAAGATGAGGACTTTATAAATGATGTCATGATGTAGAATAGCAACACCCTCCCTGTGGGGCCAGTGAGTTTTTTGTGGTAATGGTCCTTTTAGGTGTTAGGATATTCGTTTATTTGAAAACATTGTGTTTATTACCTCGCTGTTTGAAGACATTGGGCATTTTATGGAAGGATGTTATGTGTGTAAAGAAAAATAGATTCATCAGAATAGACTGTAATAAGAATTCTAAAGGTGATGTAGCACAAGAGCTACCATGTGTCCAAGAAAGAACACTCGGAGACCATCGCCCTGCTGTCCATGCATAAGGACCCTCCTCAAAATACCAACATGGCTGAAGTATGCAGGATATGTGAGACGTTCATGGGCATGACGAAGTAATTAAGATGGACTACCAAATAAACAGTAATAGTCCATTTCATGCTTCAGAGTCAGGCATGCTTAGCTCTTGTCGCCTCTAGCCCTACCAGCCTGCACACTGGCGATATATACTCACTACCAAAAGAAACACAAACCATAGAAACATAGAGAGAAGTATGGACGTTAAGATGATATGTTTCCAGTATGTACCACTTAATGCAAAACTAACAATCAGTCAAGTGTTTCCACAGAGTGTCTTTATTCTTATCACAATATGCTGCATGTAATTCCCAAACTTTACATGCTAATCCTGCATGAGACAAATGGAGCATCTCTAATCATGGATCTATGACGTAACATGCGATGCGTTTATAAGCGTTGGTTCACACAACATACCAGTATGTTCGTTTGTGCATCGAACCAATCTAATGTCTCTTGAATATGAGTACTTCTTAATTTTTTAACCAAAATGTATGGTATTCGCGTTTCTTTTGGTAATGACTATATGTACACACTGCGGTACTGGTTGGTGTGGTAGCCTAGTGCCACATCAAGACCTGGGTTTGATTCTCCACATGGTATGGCCAATGTTTAAAGTTTATTAAGCTCATGGGCAGTCATGATATAATGGGACAATTGCTACAGGCAGCATAAAAGCTCACTCACCCATTGCAGCAGTTTATCAATATACCCAAGTGATGACACAGTCACTTTAGTGATGACTTGCTTCATAGGGACATGAAATGATAACGTAATTGTAATTGAAAACAAAATACTTAAAGAATGAACTTGGAGGATCATGAAATCTTTCATAATAGAGAACAAATGGCTGTTTCATGAATTAACAACTTTTGATTTCAGTGCCACAGTATCTATTGGTTTTGTTTTAGACACCACAATGATATTATTGTATACACATTGCTGATTTTGGCTCACTGAAGTTGTGAAAATGATTAAATAAATATGAATAAGACTGTATCCTTTGTTATTTCTTCGGGGCGGTCAAGTAGGAAGTGGTTAAAGTGTTTGCTTGTCATAACAAAGCACTGAGCAGTATCATGTCTGCATCTTGCTGGCTTACCTCCTGCCAATTGTTCCATTGGTTACATTGCTTGCAAAGAAGCCCATAAGGATGTGATGCCATATTAACAGGAAGACAAAGGTGATGATATGTAAAAGTGTTGACATAAACGTGATGACATACAGGTGTTGACATAAACGTGATGACATATATAAACGTGATGACATAAAGAAGACATAAGTATGATGACATAAAGGTGATGACATACAAACGTGATGACATATATAAACGTGATGACATACAAACGTGATGACATAAAGGTGATGACAAAGGTGAAGACATACATATGATGACATAAAGGTGAAGACATAAACGTGATGACATAAAGGTGAAGACAAAGACATAAATATGATGACATAAAGGTGAAGACATAAGTATGATGACAGAAAGGTGAAGACATAAAGATGATGACAGAAAGGTGAAGACATAAACGCGATGACATAAAGGTGAAGACAAACGTGATGACATAAAGGTGAAGACATAAACGTGATGACAAAGGTGAAGACAAACGTGATGACATAAAGGTGAAGACATAAATATGATGACATAAAGGTGAAGACATAAGTATGATGACAGAAAGGTGAAGACATAAAGATGATGACATAAAGGTGAAGACATAAAGATGATGACATAAAGGTGAAGACATAAGTATGATGACATAAAGGTGAAGACATAAAAGTGATGACGGAAAGATGAAGACATAAAGATGATGACATACAAACGTGATGACATAAACGTGATGCGATATGAACGTGATGACAAATGTAAAGGCATATAAAGGTGACGACATATAACAGTGAAGACATAAACGTGAAGACAACATGTCATTCGTTGTTCATTAGGTTACAGACGGTTTTGTGTGACTTGGTTCCAAGAATAAACTGACAGCTGATGTTTCCTCTCGTGTGCCTGAAACTAACATATGTTTACATTCTCGCAGAGAAGAGACGACATCAAATCTATAGAATAATCTACCAGTACCAGAACATCCGGTTCTGACGCAATTCAAAATTGTATTATTGAATTGTAAACAACGACTATTATTCTGAAGCGGTCGTTTTATCCTTGTGTGAATATCGTTAGTTTGTTTGTTGTTTAACGCCACACTCAGCAATATTCCAGCTGTATGACGGCAGTCTGTAAATAATCGAGTCTGGACCAGACAATCCAGTGATTGTCATCACGAGCATCCATCCACGTTATTTGGATACGATGACAAGCATCAATCAAGTCAGTGATCCTGACCACACGATCAGGTAAATCGCCTTTTACGGCAAGCATGGGTTGACCTATTCCACCCGTGTTAATATCTTTAGTTCAGTGCAGTTACGTCATCTAAATGTTTACATTGTCCATGGACATTGTTGTGGATTACCATGTCACCAAAACGCAGCTGATAGTGTTGTACAATATATCCTAACTATATGCCTATTACACAGAATCGCGTTACGGTAAATTTATAAACATTAAAACAAATGATATCGCACAATATGAACCCGGCAAAACCTTTCACTTAGTGATTTTAATCATTTTAGAAATTCATATTTTGAATATTCAGAATTATTTCTTGATTTTCCAAGATAATTTCTTGAATTTTTAAGACATCGTGTCGCATATTTTACTTGATTTCTTTAATTCCTTGCTGGTCGTCGATAAAACCTGCGGGGCTTACACAGCGGCCATGCATACTTCCGTGTAATACAGCATGGTAACTGGACACATAGCTATATCCGAAAGTGTTACATTTCAGATATCAAATCATTAATAGGCTTTTTATTAGTTTGTCCACGATGTGTTTTTATTGACGTCCCCTAAATACGCATACGCACTCCCCCAAACACCCCTACAACCTACAAACGCGCGCGCACACACACACACACACACACACACACACACACACACACACACACACACACATCACCCATACAAACGCGCATTCACACACATCACTACTACACGCGCTGCACATACACACATTCTAAGTTCAAACAAGTAACGTCAAACTTCCATAAACAATGTATTATCAGAAAAACAGATTAGTCATCGACAGACCTGCCGCTGAAAGGTATATGCATTCGTCATGGCTTCACGTCAACTGCTAAAACGACTGTTCCTCTTACAAAATATGGAATATAAAATTCCACACATTACTAGAAGATAGGCTTCAGTAACTAAAAGAAAAGATTTCTGATTTTGTTTTTGAAGAAACTACTACAGTGAAACTATGTTCACAACCAAGGTGGTTTTGCCTAAACGCACCAGTTGTCAAAAGCGCGGACTTCCGGCAACAACAAACACACGTGTGTGACGCTGGTTCCTGGGCAATGGACACCAGTCGCTTCCACGGAGGTGGACGTCTCAACATAACACAGGACTCGGCCCGAGATGTGGACGAAGATGAACCAAGAGACACGTCTTATACCGGCGTCCTGGTACAGCTCGCGATGGCGGCTGTTTGTGGCGGCTGTTTTGGGTATGCAGCAGAGAAGGGTAAAGGTACGTGTATAGTATCCCGTGTACTTAGATCCACAACCCACTACTACTACCATATACTAGTACTGCTGCTGCTACTGCTGCTACGTTTCCTCCTATGTTACTGCTGGTATTGGTTCTGCCACCACCACAACTACTACTACTACAACCCCTACTACTACTACTACTACAACCCCTACTACTACTACAACCCCAGCTACTACTACAACCCCAGCTACTATTACTACTACTATTACTACTACTATTACTACTACTACTACTACTACTACAACACCAGCTACTACTACTACTACTACTACACCGGCTACTACTACTACTACTACTTTACTACGGCTACTACAACCCCTGCTGCTGCTCCCACAACTACAGCTACCACCACCACTACTACAACCACCACCACTACTACTTCTACTTCTCCAATTAAATCACCAACAACAACACCACTACTGCTTCTACTACTACACCCACCACCATCACTCCCACAACTATTACAATCACCTCCACCTCTACTACTTCCTCTGCAACTAGCATTAATCTCTGCTCACTCACTTACTCATAAGCTACTACTACTACTACTACTACTGCTACTACTACTGCTACGACGACTACTAAAATACCACCACTACCATTGTTCTACTCTAACATACACAGGCATATTACATATATTTTATGAGAATAAACTGTTTACTGCAGTCACTATAAATTAATTTCAGAATCAATATGATGATCACTATGTACATGCAAGACATTTTGTTGTAGCGTTCGAACCTTCTGCCATCACGGCCCAGCTGACCTTGGAGAGATTCCTGCTGTTGAAAGTGTTGCTTGCCGCCACCGCAACAAGTATGTCTGCGTCTCTCTCAGTAATATACTCAGTGTGAACTCTAGGGAAGTGTAGGTCCTCGGTACCCATCTTCAGAGGATAGGATGTCAGACTCGGTGACTGATTGTGCTTCATCGCACCTTGATGGCATGGATGGTGGCTCATGCTTTCAGTCACTGGTTTGTCTGGTCCAGACTTGATTATTTTCAGGGCATATTTTTCCTTATTAATTAACCTTTGATAAACAGCTATGATATATCTATATCTATAACAGGATAACTCATCTACATGGAGACATTTGATTTTTCTTTTCATATTAATCTGTACAAACACTCACAGCAGTCATATCTCAAAATAAATTACTCAAAGAATTCTGACCTGAATTCAACATGTGGTTTTGGCCATATTTAAGACATTCATTGATGTATTTGGAATGTATTATATGTAAAGTGTTTATTTGCAGTAAGTCTGTTGTATATGCAATAACCGTATGACGGCACATGTGGTATTCAAAAGTACCGAGATTATTCCAATGATATTTTTAACATGACATCAATGGCAGCCATATTGAAAATATCCAACCAACATGTGACAGTCAGAGGAATATGGAGATGACTCATCTCCATGTGTCCCCTCATACTAAAGCAGTAGACTGTAGAATGTAGAGTAGCAGATTATAGGGATATGTAGCATTTAGGCCAGACTTTATATTAAACATGGTTTACTATTCCAAAAAACTGAAAAGTGAAAAGTAAAGCAAAATTAAAAGCATTGTTTTTATTTGTATTTTTGTTCTACTTTTTCCACCTATCTGGCTAAAATTTTCAGCCCAAAAATCTGTAAACAATAAAAAAAAGAAAAAAACATTGATGGAAGTTGAACATGTAGACAGCTGCTTCAGCAGGTGTTGGCAGTAATTGCGGAGCTGTGGACTGCATGATCGTGATGCAGCTTGTAGCTCACCTTCCCTCCCTCTATGCCAGGTATGTTCTGCCTCTCCCTGCTGGCGATGGTCCCCGCAACAAGTCAACACTTCCAGCGAGCCAGGCAACGCTTCCAGCTGCGCTTCCTTGACAAGGGTGTGGTCACAAGCATCGTGGGTGGAGGAATGCTCGGGGGAGGCATGGCCGTCTCAGGAGCGGTCAGCCACTTTGTGAACTCTACTATTTTAATATTTCTGTTCATCTCAGCCTTAATGTACTCTGGACCCATGGAGACACGGGGTAAAATAGGTCTTCAGCACCCCAGGCTTGTCGTAAGAAGCGACTACGCTTGTCGTAAGAAGCGACTACGCTTGTCGTAAGAAGCGAGTACGCTTGTCGTAAGAAGCGAGTACGCTTGTCGTAAGAAGTGACTACGCTTGTCGTAAGAAGCGACTGCTTGTTGTAAGAAGCGACTACGCTTGTCGTAAGAAGCGATCAGCTTGTGGTAAGAAGCGACTACGCTTGTTGTAAGAAGCGACTACGCTTGTTGTAAGAGAGGAATAAAGGAATCAGGTGGTCAAGCTCTCTGACCTGCTTGATGCAGGTCATCGAATCACAATTGTGTAGATGTCATGATATCAATCACTGGATTGTATCGTTACCAGTACCTCTGATAACATTGATTCTCTAGCTGTAACTGTAGGACTGTTATCAGTTCATTAACAATGAACAACTAAACTTGTTGTTATTTTGTGAAGTATATATGAGCCAATACTTGTCTGTTGTAGGGCCCTGCCATGGTGGTGGTGCAGCTGGGAGCAGGAGTCAGCTCAGCCGGTGAGATGTGGGGGTGGGTGGTGGGGGGGGAGGGTCTGTGTATTGTATCCTGAGATATGGACTACACACAGATAGGTCAGTGGAAGGACCCTCAAGCTGTGCAAGGCTGAGATAGGAAGGAAACTGTTGATAATCATGCCTCATGAATATATAGGATTATCTACTGTATTCAGTGATGTAATATGTTAATACAATGTTCTTAGATGCAGCAATCTTAGTGTTTCAGGGACTTAACATTACACTGATGGTCGACTTAGTTCATTGGACTTCATTTTCAAGTTCTCTAAAGTGGATTACCTGTCAACTTAATAAAGTTCTCATCTTCTAATACGTTTGTGACAGATCTTTTTTGTTTTTATCCACTGTGCCACTCTGTCGTCAGGCTTCACACTGGCAGGATGCCTGGTGGGGGTCGTTCTGTACGGCTGTCTGGAGCCATTTCTCACAAACATCTTGAAGCCAAGACAACCATACCTGCAATACTTGTGAGTATTTTAAGAATATTTGTGGCATTGTGTGAATTGTTTATATGGCTTTTCATGTTTGCTCAATGAGATTTAAGACATTTAAGATGGTACAGATGGTACTTGTTGTTACCCTGCCTGGCACTCGGCATTAAGGGGCTAAAACAAGGACTGGTCATCTTGGGGTCAGTATACTGTGTCTGAGAGGGGTATTCATGTTAAACTGCGGCAGTATTAAGGGGGACAGATTAAGGCACAATAGCACAACTAAAAATTGGTCAGTATTTGTCTCAGCCACAAGGGGACAATGTCAGTATTGTCAGATCATTTGATGAGATAAACATGTTCTGTTTGACAAGAAAAGATAGATTTTGAGGCTGGAAGTGGTTCCAACAAAATTGTTTGATAGGCATTACTTAGAAGTTGACGGATGACAAGATAGACACAATTTTTATGGATAACAACTTCTTTAATACTGTGAAAAGCGACGTTTCGGTATAGATCCTTATACCGTTGTCAAGCAAGACTGAATGAGGGTCATAGTGCAGAATATATATAGTAGGTGGCTTCCAGCTGTGTTTTTTGTCCATCGTGTTGTGACAGCACCATCCCTTTGTTGTCACACCTACCAATGTTACCCCACTCATGTATGCTGTTGTTGTTACTGTTAATCCTCCACCTACTATATATATTCTGCACTATGACCCTCATTCAGTCTTGCTTGACAACGGTATAAGGATCTATACCGAAACGTCGCTTTTCACAGCATTGAAGAAGTTGTTATCCATAAAAATTGTGTCTATCTTTCCAACAAAATGTTAATAATTAAATACATACCATAAAGACATACTGCACCTTCATGGCCTGTACTTTCAATATATACAGTAGCAAGGTATTACTACATGCTGCACTGACACCCTCACTCACTGACAAGCACCACTGATTGTAGAGCCAGTTTGTGTAACATCACGTTTGTGTAGGCTCACTAAGCCTGTGTGAAGTTCTGGACCAGCATCTACTGTTTCAGTCTCCAGGACAGCCAGGGCGCCCCCTACTTCACGCTGTCACTCCCCCTAGCAGCCATGGTGTCCATGACGGTGTTTGCCCTGGAGCTGCTGGACCCCTGGGACACGGAAGTCGATGTGCGTCTCCTGACTGTGGACATTAAACCACTATAAGTTGTTGCAGGATCACTCGGGGTACATGGGATTTTATGCATCTCATGGAGCTAGAAGCCGAAACCCCATGTGATCCTGCTGCAACAAATTTATCTTCCCAACATGTTTTAATATGACGCTGTAAAAGAATTCAAACAAATTCAAAATTGATAGAAAACAGCTGTTCGATTGAAGTGAGGTTTGATGTCACGTGACTTCCATTGACTCGGAAAAAGTGTGCAGATTTTTGCTTTGAAGCGGGGTATAAGGGATTTATTCTGTCTCTCAGAAATCCATGTACAGCCTGATTTGCTCATGGTGGGGTATAAGAGATTTATTACCCTCTTGAGAAATTTATTCCCCTCCAAGGCGAGTTGCACAGTATTTTATCAAGATCACGTGGACAAATGAGATCTCATCATCCTGACATGGAGGTATGATAATATTGTTTTGTGCCCAACTGCCCTAATTTGAGGATTTGACTGCTGCTTTGTCGTTCACACCATGTCGGTGTCTGTGGGGATTCTGAGGCAGAATAGGTCCCCAATATCGTGTGCTTATTGTTAGAGACTAAATGGGGATTGGCTGACCAAAATGTAAACAGCTTTGCCTCACTCGTCGCCATGGAATCTTGATTGCAGCCTACATGAGAAACACAACAAATAGTACAAACTGGTTCTTGTTTTTTTATTATAATGATTAATTTGCAAAGATATATAACAAAACTTCAAGATTGAATTGATTTTAAATCTAAATCTGCTAAATGACATATTAAAAGTCAATTATATACAAATGTACAAAAAAGATTTGTTCAACAACATGTTTTATCACAATTTGAATTACTCGTGTTTTACAAGACTTTTACAAGACAAAGACAAGGTTTATCAGTACAACTAGATGTAAACTCACCTGGATCCGGGGCTGACAGTGAAGCTGATCCTATGTTGTAGTCCCAGAGCAGTGTGGAGTTGATGTGGTCGCCCTACCTGTGTGGCGTAGTGATGGGGATGCTGCAGGTGCCCCTCGTGGTCATGCTCCAGGATACTCTAGGTGGGTGTGTCACAGTCTACTAAGTTTTAGTGAGCTACAGAGCTTCATAGAGAAGCGATACACTGTCTTCATATAGCAGAATGTATATTGTTGTGTCGAGACATTTAACGTTATTATTTCAGAGTGATATTTTATTTCTTAACAGTCAATTTGAGTTGCTTTGCCTGATGATTATTAAATGTTTTTTTTGTTTGTTTTTGTTTGTTGTTTAACACTGCACTATATGACGACAGTCTGTAAATAATCGAATTCATTACTCAGAAATGCTGAGACTTCCAACATGCTCATTGGATATATTTCCCCTCCTAGGGGGCAGCACTAGCTTCTGCACTGTGATGTCCCAGGTGCTGATGTCAAGGTTGATGCGCAGGAAAATGCCATATCTTGCAAGGTTCCGATCAGGAATATCAAACTGGTGGCAGGTGAGTTTCTCAGTCAACAGCTGGTGGCAGCTGTAGAATTTTTCCAATTGATTTGACATATACAGATCCATAGATCACACACTCCACTCCACAAATCGTCATACCAGAGACCATATACCGGTATATGGTCTCTGGTCATACCTTTCGTTCCAATCGTCTCAAATTTCATTCCAGTCATCATAACTTTCATACCAGTTGCCAGTACTTTTGTTCTAATTGCCACAACTTTGGTAGAAGAAGACACTAAATGGGATGTTAAGGTCGATGACATTTTCATTTTTTGACGTAAAATGGTGAAAATGTGGTCACAGTATATTATTATTAAAACACTTGTCTGAATGCTGATCATTATTATTTTTCAACCAAGCGAATATTTCTCTGCAATACAGTTTCAACTATTATGGGTTGATTTGGAAAGTTAAAAATAGTTCTGATGCTGCTAACTTTTAGACATCAGAACATCATAAACATATGTGACAGCGACCAGCTGATGCTACACAAACATGCCTTTAAATAGTCACATGTCGAAAGTTGGACTTGCAAAAGATACTTGGGGACAAATGCCCATTGTAATCTTTTCAATGTCATGTGTACTCCATCCAGGTCCTGTTTATGCTGTTTGCTGTGATTGGAGCATACATTTCATCATCAACCAATCAGAATGTGCCAACAGGTGTCAGTGAAATCACTGGATTCATCGGAGGAATTCTAATCATATTTGGGGCAAGACTTGCTTCTGGATGTACAAGGTTAGCACATCTTCACTTATCTGTGAATATAAAGGTGAATACTGGTGAATATAAGGAGTGTTTTAGTGTTTGTTTCATACTGGACTACCTGTCATTACTCCATAGTAATGGATTTATCTTGATGACAAGAAGAAAGTATTCATTACCCGATATGTTAGTGTCCCAATTAGAAGTCTGTTTGTTAATTGAATTATTATTTCTGTTTTAGTGATCACGTTATCTCTGGCGTAGGACTTTTATCTCTGCACTCCCTCATGTGTGTCCTGGCTGTAGTGGTTGGAGGTGTTGGCGCCGCCAGGCTGGTGCGCTCATAGTACAGGATAACATGGGGAATGAAGGGAAGAACTGCGCATCGTGCAGACGAAGGTCTTGGTTGTCATGGTGATATCGGAACACATCTGTCTGAGCTGATGGTCCTGCAACTGCTGGTGTTAGGTCGATGATGTTGAGACTGCTATCCATGTAATGGTGCTCGTGTGTGCACACCGATGCTGTGATGGATGACAGTCCTGTAGGTTCTGATGCTGAGGTCATCAGTGCAGGTAATTCAAGGATGTTGACGATCGTTGAGACAGATATCCATGTAATGGTGCTCGTGTGTGCACACCGATGCTGTGATGGATGACAGTCCTGTAGGTTCTGATGCTGAGGTCATCAGTGCAGGTAATTCAAGGATGTTGACGATCGTTGAGACAGATATGCATGTAATGGTGCTCGTGTGTGCACACCGATGCTGTGATGGATGACAGTCCTGTAGGTTCTGATGCTGAGGTCATCAGTGCAGGTAATTCAAGGATGTTGACGATCGTTGAGACAGATATGCATGTAATGGTGCTTGTGTTTGCACACCGATGCTGTGCAAGGACGGCAGGGGAAGTGGGACAAGTACCAAGGGATAAATAACCCAGGATTGTGTGTGCCGATCAATGTGTATGAGCAGAAATGAACAAGATATAAATGCTCAGGGATTGTGTGTCCATGGAGGGGAGGGGAGGGGAGGGGAGGGGAGGTGAAATGAATCAAAGACCATGCCCCCAAACAATCAAGTCGATAGATGTCCACATAGAGAACCTTATTTCTATGCCTGAGAATTGTGTGTATCAATGGAAGTGTATGCTGGTGTAAGAGTTAATAAAAATTGCTGTTGGCTGTCAGAACCTTAGTAGTAACATTGAATGCAGTTGTTAGAACCTCAGTGGTAACATTGAACTTGGCTGTTAGAACCTTAGTGGCAACATTTAACTTGGCTGTTAGAACCTTAGTGGTAACATTGAACTTGGCTGTTAGAACCTCAGTGGCAACATTGAACTCAGCTGTTAGAACCTCAGTGGCAACATTGAACTTGGCTGTTAGAACCTTAGTGGTAACATTGAACTTGGCTGTTAGAACCTTAGCGGCAACATTGAACTTGGCTGTTAGAACATCAGTAGTAACATTGAACTTGGCTGTTAGAACCTTAGTGGCAACATTGAACTTGGCTGTTAGAACCTCAGTGGTAACATTGAACTTGGCTGTTAGAACCTTAGTTGTAACATTGAACTTGGCTGTTAGAACCTTAGTGGTAACATTGAACTTGGCTGTTAGAACCTTAGTGGCAACATTGAACTTGGCTGTTAGAACATCAGTAGTAACATTGAACTTGGCTGTTAGAACCTTAGTGGCAACATTGAACTTGGCTGTTAGAACCTCAGTGGTAACATTGAACTTGGCTGTTAGAACCTTAGTTGTAACATTGAAATTGGCTGTTAGAACCTTAGTGGTAACATTGAACTTGGCTGTTAGAACCTTAGTGGTAACATTGAACTCAGCTGCTGCAACCTTAGTGGTAACATTCAACTTGGCTGTTAGAACCTTAGTGATAACATTGAACTTGGCTGTTAGAGCCTCAGTATTTGAGGTTACCGTATGTTTAATATAACCTGTGTGATTTATGATGTATGTTCAAAACTGTCAGTGCATACATCACAGTCAATGGTGTACAATTCAGAATTGCAGTGTTACTTATTACTTGTTGTCCAGGACAAGTGTAGTCACTGATCCACCATGACCAGCTGATTTCTCCAAGTTTGCACTAAAAAGAAGTCGTCTCCCAGGGACCACATTGTACATCATGCTGTCTTGCAACTCGTTGGTTGGGCACCAAGCAGACCCAGATCCAAACAACGTTGTGGACAGTTACTTGGCTGCAGACACAGTGTGAGCCTTGTATCTTTCACCTTCCAATCATAAGCAACATAAATCACAAATAATGACGTTGCTGGAAAGACAAAACAGTGAGGATGCAGAAGCTGTTTTATTGATGTAGGGGTATGACATGATCACTACTGAACACATGAAATTGAGTAAGATACTAATAAAATCATAAAACCAGGTAAATTGCACCAATCTTTAATTATCAAGGAATCACTATCCTACAACTATCTAAGGTTTCATTGCAATATCATTTCTGCAAGGTCAGCACATTATCCTATCCAAGGCCAGCCAACACCTTCGGCACAATGGACTCTACGACACTGTTGGTTACTCTCAGCACCAATAAGCATAGTCCCTGTAGGGATGAGAAAATACGGAGGCTGCATGCGGAGCATTGTCATACAACAAATACAATACATCCAAATTAAGTTATGTAACTTAAACAAAGTATCCCACTGGATAATGAGCAAATTAAAAACTATTTTTGACTTAAATGAATGTTCTGAGAGAAATTCTTGATGTTATCTGATGTATCCATGTTGTATGTTATATGATCATTGCTAATGATCAACATATTCTTTTCTACTTTCAGAAAAGCATATACGTCTCTTTGGTGAATTACATTGTGATATTATATGGTACTCCCTGTGCCAATGTATACTCAGATCCTACTGAAGAGGTCGAGCACTTTCATTCAACAGTGATGTGTGTATTAATGCAAAGGAGAAAAATATGTTAAAATTGTATTTTCCGATTAAACAGTATATAAAATAGCTGCCTTCCTTGTGGGGAAACTTCTGTGAAATTGGCATGATGACCAAGAGTGACATGTATGGGACTTTAGATGCTTAAAAATCATGGGAGTAAAACAAGTAAGTAATAACAGGAGTATAATCACAAGACATCTCAGGACATAACATTACAATGGTCGCAAAGAATGATAGATCTAGACACAGTATATTAAGTACTACCTTGACTCTAAAGACATGATAATACAATATTACACACACAGTCCAATAATGTTTTTAAAACTCATCTCACATACGACATGTAAAAAGAACTGACAAAACCAGAAGCATGCATTGATATTTATGGTAGGGTCAAACCCGATGACAAGTGTCCATGAATACAGGTTTCTACACAGGATGGGGAGCAAGGAAATGGGCTGGTCCCACAATATCTAGATGAACGCTGCTGATGGCGTTCAGTAACTGATATGCATAATACAACGTTGATGACAAACAAGGCAGAGGAAAGAGCAATTTTGTACTGTCCGATATTGTTCAAGATAAATGAACAGATACCCTTTAACCAGGAGGTATAATAAGCAGATAAACTGATTGTCAACAAGAACATGGAAGTGTGCAGCAACTGGTGCCTGTGTTCTAACAATGCCTTGGCAAAGGCTCCATAACGAGATTTAATGACAGCAGCATCTACAGACAATGGACAGAGAGAAGCTATGGTTTTCTTCATCCGCTTCCCTAACACAAGGATAACTAGTCATTCCAAACAGAACATAGAATTGTGGGCAAACTGACAGAAAATATGAAATGTCTACTTGTTTGAAGGGTAGCATGGGTACTTCTCTATTAATACATGTACACATTCATTGAGATGTCAATACAGCAATGTTACAACTTACATTTTCATTTTATTCAACTGGTGTAGCATAGGAACAGAAGCTCTTGTGTGTGATGATGTGTAAAGACTGATAACAAGGTTTGGTGTCGTATAACAGAATCAAAATGCCTAGATATATATATCTCATAAAATAATAAGAAACAAATATTGAACTAGGGAGGTGTGAAGGTTGTGTAATTTAACCATTAAAGTGAGTTAGTATGCTTTTATGCATACAGTATTCCAGTCATATCACTGTGTGTCAGCTTAATGTGGGGGAAATGCCTGAAGTGATGCAGGTCTCGGACGTCTATGAGCACAGGTATGGTGCAAATCGGGATTCGAACCCACAATCATAGGATACAACTCTGCACAGCAAATTGTAGCGAATTGGATGATGGGGCACCCATGCTCTCTTAACCATTACATATGAACCTTATCATATACAGGGAATTATTAAATGCATTTCTTGGAAGGAGAGAGTTTAAAGCACTTATGTAATGAGATGGAAAAAAATACATTGCAGTCATCAATCATTCAAAAGCACAATGCACAGAGATGTCCTCATATAGTTTATAGCACTAAAGAGTTTTGCAAATATTCATGATTATTTCCATTCATTTTTCTGACAACCTTGCCCTTTCATGGTCAATCTGTCTGGGGGTGGTTGGGGAGCCTAGTGGTTAAAGTGTTCGGTTAAAGTGTTCGCTCGTCACGCGGAAGACCCGGGTTCGATTCCTGACATGGGTACAATGTGTGAAGCCCATTTCTGGTGTCCCCTGCCGTGATATTGCTGGAATATTGCTAAAAGCGGCATAAAACCATAAACACTCACTCACTCACAATCTGTTTGTCCTATGTACTATAGACTTATCTAGGAGCTTGTTTATGTCTGGTTAAGAGATAATCCTATCATAAAAGCTCAAGTTTTTGGGGCAACAAATTGTATGATTATTTTGGGAATTGACTGGCACATCATGTGCCAGGTAGATCACAAAAATATATTTTGGGCATATTTCAAGAATGAAAACTTAGTCTTACAAGTACAGTGAGCATGTGGTAGAAAAATGCTTCACATTCAACTGATTTCAAACATCCTTTCAGCAAACTAGAATAATACTGATTTGTTCAATGGTGTTGTGGAGAAGAGGTTATAGGTCAATCCAAACGGATGGATGAATGACAGATGGCAGACAAAGACCCCTTGTCAAAGTGATCCCAAAATTGCCCGAACAAAGTATTGGATAACACCAATCTTCGCAGAAGATGATGTCAATCACTGGATTGTCTGGTTCTGAATTTTGCAACAAGCATGTGGACGTATTGCTTAATTTTAATCATTTTAATCATTGGATCTGGTTCCCATTTATTGCTAAAACATTATCATAATCTCCTGCATGTCCTGCGCTGTGTTTGGATACTTAAAACAGTTACAATCTTATTCACATTCATTTTGTGTGTAACAGTGTAACTGTGGTTTCTGGTGGGAGTCTGCAGTGAAAGATGAGGTATGATGCTAGTCCTTATAATGCCCTATGCATGTAGGTTACAGTAGAGACAGGAGCTATCACTACTGGTTTATGATACACCACACATAGGATGACCATTATGAAGGAGTGCCCAGTGAAGTAACATCAGGCATGTATGATGTGTTGTGATGAAATGTATAGTAATTCTGGGCACAATACAGTTTGTATATTCATTTCTCTCATTATAATGCCCCAAGCAATGCAGTATCTCTTGACACTGCTTGTCTGGTTAACTTCTCAATAGCAGAACAGACACTACTGTTTGTTTGTTGTTTAACACTGCACTCAGGAATATTCAAGCTATATGACGACAGTCTGTAAATAATCAAGTCTGGCCCGGACAATCCAGTGATCGATAGCATGAGCATCGATCCACGCAATTGGGATATGATGACATGATGAAGCATGGGTTGCTAAAGACCTATTCACCTTCACAGGTTACAGACACTACTGATCATGCTGATGATCCATATCACATAAAAAGTCATAATCTCATCATTACTCAGACTTGCGTAAAGAACATTATTATAATCAAATAAACAGCTACCAATGTTGGAAATTATGGGAAATCCAAGGGTCTTTGAAATTTGCTGCAATAGCATCTGAATGTAGACACCCCCCTTAAGTCTTTAATATTCAACATAAGGGTCATGACAACGATGCCTTAACTTTCATGGCTAATTTGAAACATTGCTGCACCAAGCAATTGACGTACTGGTACATGTAATATTGACATCCAGTATCAGTGTTTTCAGAGCAAATTATGCTTGCAATTGATGTTGATAAAGACCAAGGTTACAATTGGTTTTCAGCAACCCATGATTGTCATAAGAGTCAACAGGTGGTCGGATGGTCAGACTTGCATCGTATCTCAATTTCATAGATCAATACTCATGATGTAAATCACTGGATTGTCTGGTTCTGACTTAATTATTTAAAGACTGCCAATATTGCTGGGTGCAGCATTAAACAACAAACAAACAAATGATGTTGATAATACAGCCTACAGTTCTGCAGCTCACCAATTCTATGTGGCGACGTCCAAGGCTGATCCTGGTGACATCATCATGTCCATATAATCCACATACCATTTATGGATATAAGTGAAGATTCACTCACATTCTAAAAATATGTTCTCCACAATATTAGCAAAGAGTTATTATCTTAAAACTTAAATCTACAATTTTTTAAATGAAGTTAAAGTGATAATGCTTCGTAAGTCTACATAAGACCTATGATCAGATGAATGAAGATGAGATTGAGCTGCCACTTCACGTATCCGAGAGCCCATTGGATTCATAGCCAAGTCCTTTCCGCCCCGGGTGAAGGTAGGCATGAATGGGATCTTGGATGCCATCACTGTTTGGTCCAAGACCCGAGCCAGGGTTCCAACCCATGCTCTGAAGCATCAAGTTGCCAATGTTGTTGTCAGGAATTGGCTCTGCGTTCTCACCAACATACCCTGAATAAAACAAACAACCTTTGTTACTTGAGACACTCTTACTCCATTTCTCTTGACCTGAGAGCTATGAGTGAGTGAGTGTGGTTTTACAATCGCTTTTAGCAATATTTTAACAATATCATGGTGGAGGACACCAGGGCCCACTTGCACAAAGCGATCTTAGCGATAAGATGACCGTAACTCCCATACCTTAACATAGGCTTACAATAGTCGTAGCGCTAAGATCGCTTTGTGCAAGTGGGCCCTGATATGGGGTTCACACATATGGGAATCTAACCAAGCCCTTGGCATGATGAGAGAAAACTTTAACCACTTGACCTGTCCAGCCCAAATTGCATCCTATTTATACGACCACATCTCCAAACAACCAATCAAATTTATCCCCCACGTGGGAAATCAGAATACGTACATGAATGATTTATTGTCAATTCTCCAATGAAAGAATGAGTAAATACATCTATAGTGCCATTAAAGAAAGCCATTCCAAACTGATTGTGCCAATATCAGCACTCACCCTCATCCTGGGGGCTAGATGGGGGTGTTTTACGCTGCCTCTTGAAGTCTCCTGAGTGTGTGGAGGCTGACCCCGGCGGGCGGGGTGGAAAATAACGACCCTGCATCTGGTTCCACTTTTGACGATCTTGCAGGAATCTGGTCATTGTGTAGCTTGGCATCTACGAGAAGAGTGTCAACAAAGTAAGCTTTCAATCAAACAGTCCACATACTGTAGACAAAACACTGCAGTTATCTGCAACAGAGAGCTCATCTTTCCGAGGCAAGAGAGTTAACTGACCATAAAAGTCCAGTTTCAACCCTTGCCGAACTAGGCTTGTATTATGGAGTTACATTTTGGCTGGACTAACGCGTCTATACATAGTCCAATCAAAATCGTGCAACGAAATAAAAATCAGGTTCGTAAACTGTTGTGCAGATTTCAGTCGATTGCAGGATATGCAAAGCATGTGCACCGCCAACTCCTTGTCAGAAGATATTTTCCAAATCTTTTCAAGTTTTTAATCAAGGCGCTCACGTGATTTGATGCATTTCGCGATGTAAGACCTGTTTTACCACAATATAGATCTTGATTATTGATCAGATCGTCTTGACTTGCAAATGCAAGTGATACGAGAGGTGGAATCTGATTGGTCCATAGGAGAGGCTTAGAAGGGACAGAACTTGTAATAGCCAGTGGTGGCGCTACAATTGAGCCCAGGAATTCCAACCTTGTTCGGCAAGGGTGGAAACTGGACTTTTAAAGTCAGTTAACTTCCTTGACTCGGGAACATGCAGAGAGTTGTACATGAGTGGACACACAAACATTATCTTTTAATAAATCACTGTTTTCAGATATCCTTGATACCTTTTAGAAATAAGAGCCAGATGATCATCTGTGACAATAGTTGAGATAAATTTGACTACATCTTCAAAGCCCTTGTAAAATTATACCATAAAGAAGTAGAAGAGCACAAATAACATCTTTACCTTCCCTTTCAGCTTTCTTCTTCCAAGACGTATTTCTCGCCCACTCTGCAAACCAAAATAAATTCAAGGTGTGTATTAATTTCAGGAGCTGTGGCATGTGGGCTTGTAGTCTGTACACACAGGTCACAAATCAGGCAAAGTTAAGCAATGTTTGTAGAGAGTACGTGGATGGATGACGGTATTCGGCAGCTCGACTGCTGAGAGGTCTGCCCCAGATTGAAACACAGGTTACATGTGGTGTCTCCTTAGACATGAGACTTTGTTTGAAATATGCCTCTATGTTCACCCAGCGGTGATGCAATGGGGAACAGCTTGTAAACCTTCTAGTGCCTCACACAGCAGCTTGGTTTGTATACTCCCTGAGTGCACACTGAATCGAAAAGTCAGGTAATATGAATAATGTAGCCCCATGATTCTGGCACTTTATAAATGGACCAATGTCCAGTAGTTTAACCATGTTAACATTAACATGTGTTGTGTTAGACAAATAAGATTGCATTGAGCAACAGGATCCAGCTAGTTATCCTTGTTATGATAAAAACAACATTTAGAATGTTAAGAACAAGATGCTGAATGCCTACAAGTCCTCAGGCTTGTAAGCAATGGTAAAGAGACAGTTCACATGCCTATCCTGATAATCTCACAAACAACAAGACATCACTCCTGCCATCTTCACAGTCATATTACCAGGGTTACAGAAGCCACTAATCACATCAAAGGCTAGCACAAGATTCACTCTCGTACAGTTTAACCTATGCACTCCACTGACAGGCAACTTGAAACAAATAACACACTTACCGATGCCATCAGCCTGCTGACACGGGTCTTGAAACTCTGTCTGGAGGATTCTGGCATATGTTCGAAGGATCCCGTGAGGATGCTTCCCAACTGTTTGTCCATGAGCACCTCGCTGTCCGTGACTCGCTCATTCTCCCACCAGGGGATGATGCCAGCAATGCCACATGATGGACCAGGCTCCAGAAAAAAGTCACTCTGCTCATCGTCAGCTTGAAAGTTATAGGTATTTGAAACATTAGTCTTCATGCAAAAGGTGCATAAAGCAAAGTTTAATTGTTAATCTCCTGGTAAGCAATAACAGTAAACCTACATTCACACATTCCATTTTAACAACTTGATAAATACCTATGCACACTTGCTCACACTGGATTTTTCCAGTTTTCAATCATACAAAACTCTTTTTCTAAGATGCTGCTGTGTTAGATTAACCTAACTATCAGGCTATATCATATCGTGACCATGGCGACACAGTCCTCATGTTTAACATAATTATTGATTCTGTTATCACTGGTTGTTCAATGTTAATTTTCTCAAATGATCTCTCACCTTCTCTCCCTTCATCATTGGTAATCAGTCCCTCACTTTCACTGCTACTCAGAGAACTGCTCTCTCTGCAAGAGAAAGAAACTTAGACATGGTTTCATGATATTGCAAAATGTGTCACTTTGTGTCTTACATCATGTAGATAAGAACACAGCCATAGCCAATACAGTGAAGGCTAATATCAGGACATACACATTATTTGATAGCACAATCATGACCATGAACATGCTGTTTGTTGTTTAATGCGGCACTCAGCAATATGATTGTGGTCTGATGTCTTGAGCAGAAAATCCAGTGATTGGCATAATGTGCATCGATCTACGCAACTGGGATATGATGATGTGCATCAACCAATTCAGTAAGCCTTACCATCCGATCCTGCTAGCAGCATCTATTGACAATCATGGGTTGCAGAAGACAAATTCTAACCCGGATCATCTCAAGGCATGAACATGTTCAACAACAGAGAGAGGTTCATGCAGGCTGCAGCATGGGCTGCTTATCCATGTACTTTACAATATAACATGATAAGGATATTGAGGACATATATCCTGAAGTAGTTCTAGTCTACAGATGTAGGTGACCACTCACTGTGAGTATGAAGTGATGTCCATGCCATCAGTGTCCCCCTCCTGACTAGCTCCTCCTCCTCCTGGTGACTTGACATAATCACTCCGACTCTTTGTGCTCCTCTTCCTCTTCCCTGGAACACTTCCATCTGGAATCTTACTTCCTCCGGGCATTTCTCCCACTGCATCATCCTGTACGAACATGTTTGTATTTGTATCTTGAAGTGTTTTGTGTTTCATTGTTTTATGACGTTCAAAAATGGGCTCCACAAAATTTAAGTCATCTGCACTGGGAGAATCAAGGGCCATGCTCTTAAACTTCCTTCTTCTTCTCTGAGGCCGAATGGGGGAGACATTCTCAGTGACGGAATCCGATTCTACAGGTGGAGTTGGATCTGTTAGTGGGACTGTGAGTCGATGGATTCTTCTGGGAGAAATGTCATCTGAGTCACTCAGTAAAGCTACTGTGTCTATGTAATCTTTCAACGCTTCATCAATACTGCTTTCAGAGGCTTCACTGATTGTTCCACATTTCCACAGTGGGCTTGGGTCTGATCTGCGACGTTTTCCACGTCTTTTTTTGTGCATTCTGCGTGCAAATATTCCTGGTGCGAGGTTTTCCGTTTGAGACTTGTGACCTTTGGAACTTTCCTCCAGTGCATTGGTAAGGTCCTGAACAAGCTCATCCATCCTGATGATATTACGGTTGGAAAACACACGCAAGTTCTGGAAATCTTTCACTATGCTGTGATCCATCTGATTAACTTTTGTGTCAAACCCTGAAACAAACCCTGAAATATTTTACAAAAATATACAAAGATAGTGTGAGTATCTAAATCACGTAAACATGGAAAATATCATCTTTGAAATTTGACATACTGATATCATATATAAAGTCACTCTGAGCACTGTTTAGACATTAAAAAGTAAAGAATGAAATCTGTCAAAACTTTTACAGCTTCCCCCATGTTGATGTTGCAAAATCTGTACAATGTGTTGGCTAAACATGCTAAAGCTTAAACATTTATTAGGGCCTATAGACTTATTAACTGCATTTTAATTTGCAACAAATTGGTCACCTTGGTCATTTGTTGGTAAGGAATGTTTCATTGTTTTTCACCATGGTGACAGTTGTTCTTGATGTTTACACGGCACAATTTTGTTATTGGGAATGTTATTGGCAACATTAAAACATGCTAAATAATGAATATGTTAAAGGTATCATGTGAGTAGAAATAACTATGGATAATGGCAGATCAATAGAAATATATATCAATCAAAGTATTGTACTTCAAACAGTGTATCATTGGTACTCTCATAATGCTAATAACAGATTGGCATATGATGATTGTGAATAATGACAATTATTGTACTTTCAACAATGTTCAATATTACTCATTTCAGAGTTGTGGAAATTGTCTCCATAATACTTGTTTGTGTTGCACTCACACGCAGATTTCGTGTTTAGGTTAATGTCTTCTCGAAATATTTGTTTGCTCAAATATTTTAAAGTGAGAATATGAATACATGGCAGATAGATATACAGTAAAATACATCCAACCTTAGCATGATTATTAGAATTATCTGTTCTGATAATTTCTGAACATGACAAGACTGAAGAGAATATAGGATTGGCAACTGACATGTACTTTGCCAGTCCCTGGTATCCTTTGCATCAAACATAATACAAAAAAGAGGGAAACATGCCCCCTTCAAAACTCAGAAACATAAGATCGATCTATTTCAATGTAAATATATAAAATGCATAATTCGCTGTGGTACATAAAGATAAGGACTGTCAAAGTACATCCTACCAGTGCGAACATGGTGACGGCCACACTCAGCATGTTCAGCCACTGTGGTGTTGTTGTTTTTCTATTACTAGGCTAATCACTTACACTAGCATAGTTCAGTCAGTGGGAAAGAAACTTATGCCTGAAATCCCCTTTTAATTCCAAACGGTGCTTTCTAAATGTGTTTATCAACCTCAGCTGACACAAAGATATGACCTGATGATGTCAGCAAGATCACTAGCCACTGTTTATCCTGTTCATAATCTGACAGTGACTGACAGGTCAAGATCTTCAACTGGTGGCAGACTGACGGGATATTCACAGCTTTAAACCTTCTGTTTCGCAGTTAATACGACATAACTTTGTACTTACGGTATGCATAATTAAGAAAAACAGAATCTCGATGTCCGATTGCATTACTTGCGTGAACAATCACTGTCGAAAGAAAGTGACAATGAACGCAGGCAACAAACGCACGCCATGATTGTTTTGGTATAAAGTCTCGTGAGATCACGTTTTCACATGTGACGACAGATTACCACGTGACCTCGTTTGTGTATAAATCCCGAGCATTGAGAAGTTGGCTCGTAAAGCGAAACGACCATGTCCAAGAATATCGATACCAACTTCGCCAAGAACTGTTACACCAACAGTCGGGTGCGGTAAGTCAAAGTTTACACATAATTGAAACATAATGTTGCAAATGTACAATGAATCAACCAAGATTTATGTCAAAATAGAGAAAATGTAATGCGCGTTGCTAATGGCAACCATCATGCTTTAACTCGTGTGTTATGATTAATTGTCAGAGTTAATATGGGGATCTGTTTGGTCTGATTGGGAACAGCTGTGTATGCTATGAGTATATCATAACGTACTGCTATCAATTAAATAGGAAAATATTTCAAAATTTCAAAACAAAATAGTAGATTACTAAAACTCGAAAACATCGGATCCATCTCGATCACAGCGAGCTGTCTGCACATACCGGATATATTTAGAATACCTCGGCGACACAAATCCAAATTAATCCTCAACTTTCTGGAAAGGACGGCGTTCATTTGATGGTTATATTTGCAATCAAATACTTCCACATGAAAAGAAATGTCCTAGTAGGAGAACACACATTCCCTGATATTTTGACTAGGGAATTAATACGCCTTATCTTACAGTGCAAGGGCTGGACAGGACATACGGACTGATATACTGTCTAAACTCAAAACCTTAGTCATGTGCCTACACGAAAATCATGAGAAGGGGTGATACATTAATTTGTAATACATTTAATTTTTGTGACAGGAATCCTATCAGTCACGACTATGAATGGGTTGGGCTACGATATTTCATTGTCCTGGGAAGAAAACAGTTTTTGTAACAGTTTGTAACTTACTTTGAATGCCTGTAATATACGCTTCATGTTTTTCCTTGATTACTTTGACGTCATCGTTGCCATGGTGACATGCTGACTGATGTGATTGTCAGCCAACATGTGGATAATTGTTTACATCACTGGTTTGTCTATGTAAACAGTGTGCATGGTGTACGGCTGTCAGAGTGCACACTATATGTTTCATATTGTCTAGTGGTAGCCGCGGCACGACTGTAGGGTAAACTAAGTACCGTATTTCCTCTATTAGACGCCCGGGATTCTATTTATTTCGGACAGGCCTTTGACCCGGCGTCAATTAGAGGCCCTGCGTCTATTCGAGGCCCGGCATCTATTAATACCCCCATTTCACTATGACCACGAATGTCCCGAATGTCAATTGATGGACCGGGCGTCTATTAGAGGTCCGGCTTCTATTTTTTGCACTGAACAATTGACCCGGCTTCTATTAGAGGCCGGCGTCTAATAGAGGAAATACGGTACAATTCTGATTTAGTCGTGTGTCCAGTTGTACAATAGCTGTGGTAGCAGTATCGCCTCTTCCTTGTTTTTATATCACGATATATAGAAGCATCTGATATATAACGAGGTAGGGGAAGGCAAGCTAGTTTTCCAAACTCTCTGGTTAAGGGCATCTCCTTAACGGAAACTGACTGGACCTAATTTATTGCAGGGTGCCCGACTACTCCCGTCTCCACCCGATGGTGCCCCGCCTATACACACAGGAGTGGAAGACAGACATGAAGAACAGGGAGCTCATCCTCAAGGTAGAGCAACACTGACAGCCGCTCACCAGCTTCCCCTGTCAATTCACGATCATGCATTTTTTGCGCCCAGGGCGCCGTTCCACTAAGCGATCTCAACGCTAACACGATAGCGAATCCCATACTTTAACATAGGTTTACGGCATTGGGTGCCGTTGTACAGAGCCATCTTAGCGCCAAGGTGATCAGTAACTTCCATACCTCTACACAGACTTACGACAGGCGTAGCGCTAAGGTTGTTTTGTACAACGGCACCGATCTTTGAGCTAAGACGATCGTAACTCCCATACTTTGACATAGACTTACAAGAATCGTAGCGCTAAGATCACTTTGTGGAACAGGGCCCAAGACTGCCCGGTGTCGTTGTCAGTAACTATACAACAGGGAGGCTACTGACGACCGTATCCTTATTGTGTAGATCGATGCCCCTGATGTCATGCAATGGATTGTCTGGTCCAGACCCGAGTATTTACATACCATCGTCATATAGCTGGAATGTTGTTGAGTGCGGAGTTAGACAACGAACAAACACTATGTTTGACAGGATATGTAATCAGATTGAACTTGATATGACCCCATAGTGTCCCCGTTTCAAAAAAGCTTGGCGCTGCGACATTGGATTTACGATCTCCTTAGCTCTACGATCGCTCAGTGCAACCGAGCTCAGAAACTTATAATGTGACAAGTACTATGCCCAACCAAAGACGTATATATACGTATCCCTATATTCCTTTGGCCCAACGTAGAAGATATTTCCTCCCAGAGGCCTTAGAAGCCTGCATGCTTGTAATAGAGTCGACTCTAATGGGGATCGGGTGGTTAGGTGATAGAGCTGCACTATTGCTGCATGGTAAACACATTTAACTCTCACTCAGCCTTTCTCTCATCAGCAACATGGGTCGGCGTTGTTCACAAACAGGCCGAATGTTGTTAGGACCGCGGGTAAGTCAGGGGATAACTGGCCTGCCCATACCAACACAGGTGTTTGCTTATCGACTGAACAGTACTTTTGAAAAACAAATGTAGAATGATGTAGGCAGTAAAATGATCTAAGAGTGGATTTTGATATTTTGTACCCCTCCCTTTTAAAAAAGCTGTATTCACCCTTGGTACATTCTAGATCATACTTTCGCATGTACATATTAACGTATGAGGTGACGTCAGCATAATCATTAGTTTATGCGTGTTATTTAAGGAGTGAGTGACTATAATTGTACGTCACTTTTGGCACTGTTCCAGCAGTGACAGGGACGCCAAGGATTGTCTTTATGTATTGTACGTATAGTCATGGGGGAAATACAATGCGGAAACATCGTTGATGGAGTGTCATCGTACTGGACGACGTATGAGTCTCTAGATTGTCTGGTCCAGATTGGATTATTTACAGGTCGCCGTCATGTAGCTGGAATACTGAGTGTTGCGTTAAGCAACAAACAATCAATACTTTGTTGCCAGTGCTTCTATTGTAGGCTACTGAATCTACATGCGTTTTCACACGATGGTTAATTACAAAAGCGCTATGTCATGTTTGATTAAATGGCATGTTTCAGAATGCTGACTTGGGAGGCATCCCCCATTACGAGCACGACGAGAACATGTTCCTTGAGAAACGAGAACAAATGGCCTACAACGTGGAGGTACGGAACCGCGTGGAGAGCAAGTGCCCGCTGCCAGACCGCGCCCACCTCCTCCGCCCCCCCTTCCACCACGAGGCGTCCAAGTACCAGAGCTCGCTCATGTACAGAAGCGATAACAAAGACTTCGCCTGATTCATAACATGGTGCTGAGAAAAATGTGAAATTGATTTAAATTATGTTCTGATAAATAATTAAGATCAAGAAATACTTGTCTCTGTTGTGCACGTTTAGGCCTTTATTTGAGTCCCTATAAACCGGTGTTGTGGTCATAACACGTGAACGTCTGAGTTTATACATTTGAAATTCGGTGATAATTCGTTTATCAAAGTTATGTGTGTATATAAACACTTTATGTTTGTCACATATGGCATTATTTTATGTCATGTATCTATATATGACAATGTTGTGTTTGTTTATGAGTGTGTTTTTTTATTTTTCACGAATTAGTCCCGATTGTCTAGCGTTTGGCCATGTCAGTATTATGATTGCACAGCAGTATTATATGTTGAATGTGTTAGGGGAGAGTGTGTGTTTCATCTAGTGTCTTTAAAACAATCATGTGTATTACATCAAAATACGTTATGCATTATGAATTATATTTCTTGGAGATAAACACTTTTACAAACTTGTCATATAGTTGTTGTTTTTATCATTAATGGACACAGTATTAACTCTCTATTTAATTGAACAACAAATATGAAATATAACATAATTAATAATCAGTGTTCCTTTATGCCTTACTCAGCAAAATTCCAGGAAAATGACGGAGGCCTGTAAATAATCGAGTCTGGATCTAGTGATTGATATTATTATTGTGCAACTTGTCACGCCGTCGGAGTACGATGACGCAATCAACCGCATCGACCAGCGTTATCACCCATCCATTAAGTCGCCTCCGCGAAAAGAATTGGTTGTTGGGGACTTATTTTAATCCGGAATCCTCACGATTATTAAGCGAGCGACCGAGATTTCACTGCCTTAAAGTTACATCACAGCCAGTCGGATTAATTTAATTCTGAAGTGATGCAGGCAGGTCCTGGGCCTCTAGCACTCCATTGATGGTACTATAGTAACGCCAGCCCTACGCCGATCTAGCCTCATTAGAGTCCGATTTGAATTTACGAGTTGCCGTCCAATCAAATTACACACATGTGCGAGGGGAATGATGTGCAGCGATTACTGATAAGGGTGTGAGTGTATAAGGTTTTACGCCGCTTTTAGCAATGTCCCAGCAATATCACGGCGGGGGACACAAGAAATGGGCTTCACATATTGTACCCATGTTGGGAATCGAACTCGGGTCTTCGGCGTGACGAGCGAACATTTTGTTTAAAAAGATTATTTTTGTCATTTAATTATAGAACAAAAATCAAAAACCTATTCGTTTATCAAATGAACAGAAATTTTGCTTTCCGAAAACTCTCACATGCATATCCAATGCTATGAATCTTGAATAAGACCCCCACCTATGGAATACTGTAAGGGACATTCTCGCGATATCGCATTCTCGCGATCTCGACCTTTGGAAATGAGGTAAATATGCCCAAAACACGAGAATGCGAGATCGCGAGAACGCGAGATTTTGGCCAAATCTCGCGTTCTCGCGATCTCGCATTCTCGTGTTTTGGGCATATTTACCTCGTTTCCAAAGGTCGAGATCGCGAGAATACGAGATCGCGAGAATGTCCCTTACAGTATTCCATACCCACCCCTACCTCTAAACCAGTCAAGCCACGTACACCGAATGACAGCATATACGAACATGCAATTTAGCACCTACGTAATACTATGAGTTGTCATGACGACCAAGCCACACGTGTTGCAGGGTAGGAATATATTTACTAGCCATGGCATACAGATTGAAAGAGCCAAAGAAATTATACCTCTCAGATGAGATTATATGGTCGACTGTTTCTGACTGACTGTTGTTTAACGCCGCACTCGGCAATATTCCAGCTATATGGCGGCGGTCTATAAATAATCGAGTCTGGACCAGAGAATCCACGCAATAGTCGCCTCTTACGACAAGTATGTTTGATGTCCAACTGAAAATATCTTAAGATAGAGATATCATGTGTCCAGAAAATGAACTGTAATGGCGCATAGTTCGAACTCAATACTTGTCCATGGTGTTATTTTTATCAATATAATTCATTTTAAAACTAAAATAAAATAATAATAATTAGATTAATACACAACTGGTGATAGGTATCTTAGATTTCCTATTTTTGAAAATCAATACTTTTACATTTTTCGGAACACATTTGCTGCAAACATGGTAGGGGTCACGTGGTTGCCATTTCATTTCCTACCCCAGTCTTCATTGAACTAATATATTTTCACACACAATTGCCCAGCCACAAATTGCTTTTTACAAACTCTTCCTGAAATGAGTGATGGTAAAATATACATGATCAAAGTTAACAGTTCTTTCAATTTTCAATTACTTAAAAAACAAACTCGGTCTACTCATCTTTTGCCCTGTGTAAACGTAGTGCTTCAAGGATCATCAAATTCACCTTAATGTATAAAGATTGGGATACATAATTACGGTGGCGCATAAGGGACATGGAGTTTTTCCATATTTTGATATTTCACTTACTTTTATCGTAACCTTTTTGCAAATTAACACGATTTGTCTTACAAATATGCGATAAATCATGTGTAAAGAAGATATTGAATCGCTGAAAAGTGAAACGAAAATGTCAAAAACTAAAATGAAAATACAGAAAAACTATTTTCAACGCGGTGGAAATATTATAGACTCCATGTCCCTTATAGGCTGCCGTACATAGTCATGAGGCTGTAAAATAAATTATAACTATTACAGGGTGTGTACATACCATCCTGTATTCGCCAGACCCCTTAGGTTGAGATATAAGGCCCCCGGGTGTCGCCAGGGACGTCCTCGCTCCTATACCTGTCACCGTCAGCTCACTACAATAGGTGTGAAGCCAGACAAAGTGCCAGACACCTAGTCCCTGACTGTCCACATCCCAGTATTAAGTTATCACACTTGAATTTGTTGCCAGGAAACGATATATATACACACTTGTTTAAACGTCTCGGCCCAAACTTGTCTTTTGTAGTTGACTCAGCACAGATAAAGGCTACTGAGGTTATGATGAAACTCGGGACTTCAGTCCAACAAGGAGCGGTCGGTCGGCAGGTCAGAAAGCTGGTTCCCGGCTCCCGATGCGCGTCGTCCAAACGCCTGTCTCCCATATACTTAGGACTTAATTCATATGCCAGACTTTTTTCCGAACCCTGGCGACAGAACAGTCATTTTCTGATGCGTAAACAATGTCAATTTGCTGTTTCAGCAAACAAAACACAGAAGTGTCTAAATCGATCGAGTAACGAGTTAATGCACATTTTAGAGCATTAACTCTATTCAACATTGGAGTGTTACGAAGGTGTCACATCCTGGGAAGGAGCTTGTTATGACGCGTCAAGCAGATGGCGTCATGAAAAACTATGACGTCATCATGTCTGTATAGAGAGCTCCGCGAACGGGCTATCGCTGTGAGGAGCATGACCCTGTTCACATTTTGAGTTACCATTTAAAACCCTGGTGGACGCAAGGCACGTCAGACACTGAAAGATGGTACTAGGTAAATTTGCACTTAGTTTTACACGTGACCTATGGCAGAGATCGTCCTCACGAGAAGTTGTGGTACTGTATTCTAAAGGTGCTCCACTTATTGTTACCCTGCCTGGCTTGGCATTTTGGGTACAAAGCAGGGACTGGTTGGCTTGTAAAGTGTATCTGAGTGGGGTATCTATAATAAACTGCTGCATGGTATCTCAGTGGTCTACCACGATAAAACCGGCTTATATCGGGACTAGTACAAACAACTACATACACACGTGCAGGCAGTGTGTGAAATCAACACTACTAACCACCCAGGCAAGCTATATGATTTTTACTTGCCAGTTTTAGATTTAGGTAGCATGTTTTATTTTATATACAAAGTGCAAAGAGATATCTGGTAGAAGAGAAAGAAAATGTATTTCAAGTTTCAATAAGTATAAAACGTCAATATTTTATATCAAACATTCTGAACTAGACCATCACATGCACATTCCTGAAATCAACCACTTAGAATCTAGATACTGACTCTTTTAAAGGAAGCACTCGTTTCGAACTATCATATTTGACACCAAAAAGACAATATTATAGCTCATTTGATAGAAAATCAAGTCAGTCCGCCTGACCACTTTGAGTTTATTTTAACTTGCCAGAAAGAAAATATAGTAGCTACTGGCGACCGGACAGATGGGCCCCCGTGCATGCACGCCTGTATAGGAGATAATCTTGAACGCGACGTTTAACCCTATTTATAGTCACAGTCACAATGGTATTGACGTCATAGACGTCCATTGTGCATTATCAACATACATGGAGTACTAAACGAGTCCCCGTTAGATACCCCCTTACTACATCGAGTGTATTTCAAAACCTACCGAACGAGGGACAACCACGATGCTTGCACTACCACAATACAAAATAGAAAGCCGTATACTATGTTTCTAACTTAATTTTCGCGAGTTGAGTGATATATCCCAGTCAACTGAAAACTCTTGACTAGACTCCAGTTAAATGTGTCAACAATACAGTTTTGAGATGCATGCCCAGTGAAAAAAATAGCGGGGTAGGTTAGGTGCTACCAACTTCTCCATTATGCGTGATAAAGGTGTGTTGCTATTAAACGGGCGGGGGCGTGTTTTTATCGACGAGTGTTGATATATTTAATATTAAAAGACACGGGAGTAAGGTTAAATTTTATCATCCAAAACGTTTTTTATATGATTTTATTTCTTTTTGGGGTACACAAACAATATGTTTACAGAATATAGTTCACATGCAAACTTAAATGCATACAAGTTACAAAGTATATATCTATAGATGATAACAAAAACAAAACAAACTATTCCAGTGTCATATTGTTGGATTGTGCAAGTTCGTGGTTTTAAACGAATAGGTGGTGACAGAGAGACCAAAATGTCATGAACTGTGTGTATTTACATTGTGAATATGATATATTTCTGTCGATGTAATATGAATCGGTTATTTCTTGTTTGATGCGTGGGAAGTTTGGTATGGTGTAGGAAATGTTTGATTTGAATATGTGTTGCTTTGTTACAGTTATAATATGATTTAATACATCATTTCGTTTTTGTTGATTTCCTAATAAAATTGTCAATTTTGGAAATTCTAGTTCTATTCCAGTTTTGTTTTTGATATATTGTATAAGGTTGTTCCAGCAGGGTCTAGTAATTAACATGCATTCCAAAAAAAAGATAAACCAAAGCAGCACTTAAAAAATTGGAGACCAATTTCGCTATTAAATGTTTCCTATAAGATAACATCAGCAACAATAGCAAATAGAATAAAAAAAGTTCTGCCAACAATAATTAACGAAGATCAAAGAGGTTTTATGTCAAAACGATACATTGGAGAATGCACTAGATTAATTTATGATATTATGGACTTTACTGAATCATGCATGGAAATCCCATGGTTGTTGTTATTTATAGACTTTGAAAAGGCGTTGATTCAGTAGACTGGGTTTTCATCCAAGAAGCTTTGACCTTTTTATATATTTTGGACCTTCTAAGTTAAGCACTGGATAAGAACATTCTATCACCATATAAAATCTAGTGTTTAAGTTAACGGTTTAATGCTACGCACTAATAAAAATATAAACGGAATTAGGATCGACGAGATAGAATATCTAATTTCCCAATTCGCAGACGACACATCTCTCATATAAGATGGAACTGAAAATTGTCTCCAAAACACCATGACAACTCTTCAAACATATGCGTCTTTTTCAGGCCTAAAAATTTACACAAGCAAAACGCAAGTGTTGTGGGTTGGCTCACAACGCTTCTCTGATAAATCTCTGTGCAAAAGTAGGAATATCGATTGGTCAAGAAAAAGTTTTACTCTTCTCGGTATCATTTTTACTCACAATTTGGCAGAAATGGTAGAGTGAGTAAGTGAGTATGGTTTTACGCCGCTTTTAGCAATATTCCAGCAATATCACGGCGGGGGATACCAGAAATGGGCTTCACACATTGTAGCCATGTCGGGAATCGAACCCGGGTCTTCTGCGTGACGAGCGAAAGAAATGGTAGAAAGAAAATACAAAGATAAACTTAAAAGTTTAAAAATCATCATGAACTCATGGTTATCACGTGACCTGACCCCATTAGGTAGAATTACTGTACTAAAAAGTCTTATTTTACCTAAACTAACCCACCTTTTCTCAACCCTACCTAATCCAAGTGAAAGGTTTATAAAAGAACTCGAAACACTGTGTTTTCGTTTTATATGGAAAAATAAACCAGACGATATAAGTAGAAATATTATGATGAAACCTTATGAAGAGGGAGGTTTAAGAGTGCCTGATTTTAAAAATCATCCAAAACGTGCCTCCACAGGAGAAATCACTTTGCAGAATATTGTGACGTCATCGATTACCATGACGTCACCATCTCTGCAATTGAGGCAGGTTAGTTATGTTTGTTTGTTGTTTAACGCCGTACTCAGCAATATTCCAGCTGTATGACGGCGGTCTGTAAATAATCGAGTATGGACCAGACATCCAATGATTGACTTCATGAATATCGATCCCTGCAATTAGGATACGATGACATGCATCAACCAAGTCAGCGAGCCTGACCACCCGATCCCGTTACCCGCCTCTTACGGAAAGCTTAGGTTGCTGAAGACCAATTCTACCCCAGAACTTCACGGGCTAGTTCTAAATTTGACACTCGAGATTATTTACTCTTTACAAACTGAAAAACTGGAAGAATGATTTTGGATGATAAATATAATCTTACGCGTGTGTCTTTTATAACAAATATATCAACACGAGTCGATAAAAAGTTAAAGCCTCGGATGTTTAAACTTGTATTGACGCGTTGATATATTTTATATCAAAAGACACCGGGTGATATTCTCTATTTCATCCTTCTTTTTCAGTTTGTAAACAAACAAGTGTCCTGTGTGTAAAAATTACAACGTCGCCTCTTTCAATAACAGCACAGAGAGGTATATTTTCACTGAAAGAACCGGTCGTGTTCAGAGTTAACCAGAATCAGTAGCGGTGGGATTAGTGACGTAATTTGTTTGTGACAACATAATAACTGGTGGCATCATAACGGTCTCACCAGAGATAAGCAAGTTTTGGATGATAAATGGAGAATCTCACCCAAGTGTCTTCTGATATGAAATATATCTACATGAGTCGATAAACGTTTAAACTTTTATTGGCGAGTGTTGATATATTTGATATCAAAAGGCACAAGGGTGAGATTCTAGTTATTATTACTTGCCCGTGAAGAGATCACCCGTTTAATAAACATACAGCTGTATTACACATTGTGTAATACCAAAATGCGTGCTTATGTACTCTCGCAACACGTTTCACGAACAAATATTGAACGCTCTCAACATACCTTGGCTTATTCAACGACGTTGTGTGTGGAGATGATAGATCACTGAGGGGAACTTATGCACACCCGATGACCCCAGCAACCTTGTTGCTAGGCTGACGTCACATGGCATTGTTTCGCCGAAGGATCTTGCAACAAAATTCCACAAATTACGTCATCGGGTATTGTGACGTGATTGTAAACTTTGAGGTGCAAGGCCCCGTTCCACAAGGCGATCGTACTGTAGCGCAACGACAGTCGTTGGTCTAAGTAAAGTATGTGAGTTGCGATAACCTTAACGCTACGATAATTTTGTGGAACGGACGCCTGAATTCTAAAGGTGGACCATTGTATGGTATTAAATTCATACGTTTCAACTTTTGACGTGTTTGAAGTATTACTCAACTCAATCCAACTCAATTGTATTATGCCGTGGATCGTGTAGGTGTCAGCCTATTCACACTCGACAGTATAATTCTAAAAACGTTATAAATGGCAAGTAAAAAATAAAATACTAAACTCGCACCCGTGTAAAACCAATTTTATGAAACTCGTGAATCGCTTTCGCTCGTCAGATACCACAACTATTCACTCGTTTCATAAGATTGGTATTACACGGAAGCTCGTTTAGTATTCTATATTTATCCAACATCATTCTTTCAACTTTTTCTGTTTAGACATTAATAAGCAGTGTCTTGGGTGTAAAAAGTACTGCTAACAGCTTCAGTAGCAGCGCCGTTAGTGATGTCACTTGATTGTGATGTCATGGTAACAAATGACATCACAATGGTCTGCAAAGCATTGTGATGCAATTTCATTGTAATGATATCTACAATGTAGATATCGCTTGATCTCACCCAAGCGATATCTCCCGTGGGAGCCAGTTTTGGATGATAAATGACATTCGCGTATATTAATCTATGTATGTAATTATATATACTTAGGTGACACATCCATTGCTCCATTGATCTAGATATCAAACGTTGTTTGAATATGAATATTTTGATCTGAAGGTGATGAACCTAGCCAGCCACTCTTTAGCCATATAGTATGATATACTATTTTACATTTAAATCACCTACAATAAAAGACATGGTCTGTGGTATTAGAATTCACGCTTTCTCATTCTTGGTGAAAAATTGGATAACAAAATGTTTGATATAAGTTTAGCAGTTGGACACAATTCCAGGGCGGGGAAGACCTTCATTTGGCTTGGATCTAACAAATAGCGATTATTCGTCAAACATCTCTACGAAAGGATTATACTAGTGTTTTACTACAGTTAGTTTCACATGTTATCCTTATTCAAGTTTCATGACACGTTTGGCTACATTTATTTTCTTAGCTTGCTCAGGCAGAGACCATAAACTAGTCTATTGTATGGTCTCTGCACTTAGGTGAACCCACTGTCACGTTATAATGTTCACCATATAATCTTTGTATGAAGTTCATTCCGGGCGTGGTAATGTGTTCAAACACATATGGTGATTCACTACAACTCTACCCTTCGCTCACTCCGATGTAATATCCCTGTCCAAGATATGCATAACGAATGTGTGCCGCCCATAACATGAACCTGTGGCTGAATAGTGTTGTGGCTGGCTGGTAATCAATAAATATATTGTGTCCTCCTCCCGCTGGTTCTAGTATTATAAACTACATATTACAAATTCATGTCAGGGGTTCACACAAGGGTTCTGTGTTCGCCATCACTGCATGCATGAGTAGGAAAACTACGAAAATATCACAGCCATTTGCGCAGGCGCATTTTATCCCGGTGGGCGGAACAAATCGTCAAGGGGCACAACCTCACCGTGCACCTGTTTGTGACCGAAGTTTTTAAACATGGACGTGGGAAATGCTTGGAAAGTTTTGCTGCTTTTCTGCATCTGCAGCCTTGTTTGTGGAAAGACAGCAGACAAGCCGATAGAACTTACCGAGGACAACTGGCAGGACATATTGGAAGGAGAATGGATGGTTGAATTGTGAGTTGTCTCATGCGGAAGTTATCTGGTGGATCGCGTGACCCCTATTTTCGTTATAGATCACACGTCTCAAATCATTGACTTTAGTTGCTCACACGGTGGTTTGTTTATTTACAGTGAGTCTGTTTTTGATTTGTGATTTTGTATTATTTTTCATTGCATAATTTGAAAATGATGTAGATCTGTTTTTGATTAACGTATTATATAGCATCAATGACGTGTGTGGCTACACTTAGAAGAACGCTATGTCATAATTTTAAGTTCCTTGTGGAGTTCTTCAGTGTGCACACAGTGGATGCATCGTGGCAGTAGATGATTGAGCGAGGATGTTGTAGAACAAACTAGCACCACAGTCCCTATCCCATTCATGTCTGCAGCTTCTCAATGGGCGTACTGAACAAATGGATAATTGGGAGACATGTATAATAAAGATCTAGATTCTTAGCTGTTGCTGACAAACTTAGAAAAATTAGGTTGAACTTCGTCATTTGGGACAGTACTGAAGACGTTTCGTGTGCAGTGAGAGATTCCTGTCCATGAATGTTGAACTGCGGTGAGGGTGACGTGAATATGTGGTGTTCATGCTCTATATGTCATTTATGTCGACTTGCCACGTCTATTGGCCCACATCCACTGACCCGTGAGTAAACCTTCCACCCCTGCTGTTATTATCTCAACATACACCTTGATTATGTTTCTTGGTTTGTCGCAAACCTTTCCAGATTTCACTGACTGATATACAGTATATGTCCGCATATTAGCCGAATTTTGAGGATACTATTTACAACATCATAAACCCAATTCACTCACTCACTCATACTTGTATGGCATTTATTTATAGACCGATGGACAGAAATGAATTTAATGACATTAAAGAATTTCACTGATAGACCAATTGTTAACCTATGTGAAGGATGCCAACTGCAAGCATCGTCACAAACAGTCAGCCAGTGTTGGACAGTGAGCTGCTATTTAAACACTTAAAGTGAGAGTGAATATTGCTTGTATTTGACCAGTGTCGAAATAAGTGCCTGCCTGCGGTTGGTGACGTTTTTGTCGGGCTGCATGAAATTTGCCTCCACCTGCCCAACTATCTGGCAGATAATTTTAAGACTACTTAGGCATTAAGTTATATCATAAGTCCTTGTAGATTCTCATGTAGTTGTTTGCCTTATTTCAACTGAATCAAGACACGATTTGTCTCTTATCTTTCGTGATTTTTCTCATAGTGTCGTTGGTGATCCATTATTAACATGAATGAAAGGAAGTAACTGCGCCTTCATTGGTCAATCTAGTCTTAGTTATAGTGTATTAGGATTGATATTAAGACACATAATAATCAGACATACTTTTTTTTATAGGGCTGGAAAACATAATACGCAAGGTTTCATTTAAATTTAATATTGTCTGAATGAGGGCAGGTAACTTTCAAGATAGGCAGGCAACATTTATGGGTCACCTGCCCGACTGCCTTGTTGGGTTATGAAATTATTTCAAACACTGGAGATGACCCAGCTTTATGACAACATCCCCAAAGTGCAAGCCCCTAATATCCCATGGTGTTATTCAGGAAAACTCAGTTTGTTTTGGCTAGGTTGTTAAATGCTCACTGTTGTATGTAAATCAGTACACACATGTTTTTTATAGGACATATAAATCGTCTCATTGTTTGACATTTTGCTCAATCATTGTTCCGCAGGCATCATGTAAACAAACGGTTGAGATATGACAGTGGTATGTCAGTAAACAAACGATTGAGATATGACAGTGGTATATTAGTAAACAAATGATTATGATAGGACAATGGTATGTCTGTAAACAAACGATTATGATAGGACAATGGTATGTCAGTAAACAAACAATTAAGATAGGACAATGGTATGTCAGTAAACAAACGATTGAGATATGACAATGGTATGTCAGTAAACAAACAATTAAGATAGGATAATTGTATGTCAGTAAACAAACGATTTAGATATGACAATGGTTTTTCTGTAGTCAAACGATTAAGATAGGACAATCATATGTCAGTATATGACGATGGTTAAAGATAGGAGATTGGTTTGTCTGTAAACAAACGATTAAGATAGGACAATGGTGTGTCAGTAAACAAACGATTAAGATAGGAGATTGGTATGGCAGTATACAGACTGCGTGGTCTGCTTCAGCATGGCGCCGTGGTGCCCGGCATGCCGGTCCTTCAAGGAGACGTGGGACAGTTTTGCCAAATGGAGCAAGGATCTGGATGTAAATGTTGGCATAATCGACGTCACCGAGAACCCAGGTATGGAAGTAACATGTTCACATTAAAAACAGAGTTTATGTACCACTGTGTGATCTCTGTATGCTGTGGTCAATGTTTCCTGCTGCTTGGGGTCGTTCATACTGTCGGCCACTGGTTTGTATGACAAAGGCGTATTCATCGTCAGGCCACAATGATTATGTAAAGTCATCATTGATTGACTGCTAACATGCTGTGTTAAATTGTGGCATGGTATCACATGGCAACCGACATTACTCCAAGCTAGTACAACCAGACACACACATAATATGAGGTAGAAATTGGCACTAGTCCTATAGTCCTTGCCGAACTGTCCAATAGTTAGGTATCATAAGGACTAGTATACCCATGAAGTTCCAGGTAGAGAATAAGTCTTCAGCAACCCATGCTTGTCGTAGGAGGCGACTAACAGGATTGGGTGGTCAGGCTCGCTATTTGGTTGATGTATGACATCATTATTGCAGTTGCGTAGATCGATGCTCATGATGTCATTCACTGGATTGCCTGGTCCAGATCGCCGTAATATAGCTGGAATATAGCTGAGTGCGGCATTAAACAATAAACAACCAAAAATAGTAGATAAAAACTAGCACCGATATACATGCACACATGTGATGCACATCTCCATTTACATGATATAAGTGCACTCATCCTGAACGCGATGTTAAACCCTCGTCTGAATGACTGATGTACAATGAGGTGAAATCGGGTTTGATGTCGCCTTCAGAATCATTGCACTTGTATAACAATGTGTTTGTCTGTCTGTGTGTGTATGTATGTGTGTGTGTTGCTGCTTGTACTAGCCCGGACTAGTGCAGGTTTTATTGTACTGGCCCAGTGAGATACAATGCCACAGTTTGACATGGATACCTCACCCAGCTGTGGGCCTCTTTGCATATCAATGAAAACAGTTAGAATTTTTATTAGCATTAAGCGAACATTTTAACAATTTGAGAATTACTGGGGAAAAAGGAGATTTCATGTATCCTCTCGCCCTTATTGGTAATATATGCATATTATGTCCTTTGTCAGCAGAAGGTGCACCTCCAGAACTTCATTGCTGCTTTGTTGTTTATACGTGCCTAATCTCTTTTTGTGCAATTTGACATCAATTTCATTTTGTCTGCAGGTCTGAGTGGTCGTTTTTTTGTGACAGCACTACCAACCCTTTATCAGTAAGTGTGACCAGATGATCAATCTTCTCGGCATTCTGTCTGATATCAGTAGAAAGATAATATGGTCCAGAGCTCCGAACTACGACTGGAAGTAGTTAGTATCTAATTTCCATCATCAACATGTAAAAACTTGAATGCCAAAACTATCAAGATTTTAAAAATTATTTTGCACTGGAATGAAATAAGAATATTATTGGCATAATGCTAAACTAAAGGGTGAGGTAATAGCCCAGTAGTGAGAGTGTTTGCCTGCCTGGGTGTCAGGTTCTATTCCCACCATGGATACAGTGTGTGATGTGCACACATGACCAGGTTATTTCTTCATCCCTAGTGTCCGAGATGGAGTGTTCCGCCAGTATCACGGCTCCAGGAAAGAATCTGACCTCATCAGCTTCGTCGATGACTACAAGTGGAGGGACATTGATCCAGTGTCGGGCTGGCTTGCTCCCAACTCTATACAGTAAGCTACACTGGTCAACTTACAGCTAACAACCAGTTGATATATGACATTGAAGTCTCTCCACCTAGTGTTGTGTCATTCCTAATTTGCATGTGATTAATAATTACGAGCTACTGAATATGCATACTGTTCCGCCCCCCCCCCCCCCCCCCCCCTAATTTTGAAAACCATATGTAGTATGTTGTAGGCAGTAAAATTATCTGAGAGAGGATTTTGGAACCCTCCCTCTTAAAAATGCTGGATCTGCCCTTGTTTCACAACTTAATTGTTGTGACTATTACATTTTCACAAATATGTCTGTTCAGCTGATGTAACAGCCAGTGGCTCTTACATTTAGTTTACTTACAGTCTTTTTTTATCAACTAAGATGCATGTTGAATATAATAAGATGCTGAATACATTAGTCTGTGAATGATTTATTTTCTATTTTGACACAAACAAAACATAAAGGAACAAGAATTCACAACAAAATGCAAACTTTAAAGTTTTAAGTTGTCATGTTTACATCGTGTCACTGTGTGACCTTGCCCTTGAAATCAAATGTAGCAGCATGATCGGAGTCACTGTGACAGTTCGTCTCCCTCACTACTGACATTGTTGAGGTGGAAGTGGATCTTTGATAATTTATGTGTCCTGTGACGGACATTATTTCGGATGTATCCATACTGACCCCGCAGATTCCTCTCTCACCAGGGGTGGGTCAAGAAACAACTGGAGCTGTATCTGTGCTTGTTAGATGATGGGTGGCGTCTTTAGTTTTAGGCCATTAGTCCTTATGATGATAACAGATAGCGAAACCTTTAGAAATGGAAAATTTCTGCTTGTGCATATAATACCTTAACTGTTGGACAGTTTGTCAAGGACCAAAGGACTAGGGCCAATTTCTAATGCTGCTATGCTGGTCATAAGAGGCGACCAAATTGATCAAGTGATCAGACTCTTTGACTTGTTGATTGTGTGTCTTCGTACCCCGATAACAGGGATCGTTGCTCACAATATCAATCACTGAATTGGCATATTGGGGCGTCATACAGCTGGACTATTACTGAGTGGGCATTCAACAACAAACACATCATTTCCAATCTTTACTTTGCAGGATGTCCACTGTCGGGTTATTCTTCAAGGCTGCCATGGTTATTCGTGTAAGTTGTCCACGTTGGTTGTCGAGGGGTCGGGTCACTCGGGTGTCCAGGCAAGATGCAGATACTAGATATTATCAGAGACTTGTGCACAGAAAGCAATGTCATACTCTGTGCCAAGGTTTTTCCTTTGGCCTTGCGATGATATGCTAGCCATGGATATCATAAGTGGATCCTGAGAGGGTGTCTAGGGGGTCCGGACACCCCACCCCACCCCACCTTGAAAACCAAATGTAGTATGCTGCTGGAGGCAGTAAAATTGACTGAGAGAGGCTTTTGATATTTTAGACCCCTCCCTGTTTTGATTCATTGGTATTTCTAACAGATCTTTCCCATGTAACTTTGCACATCTCATATGCAATCTTCGAAATTCACACAAGCCTGAGACTACTGAATGTTGTTGATGGCAGTATATCTTATTGAATAGTAGCATTTGATGGCTAGAATTCTAAAACACTTCTCAAAACTTCCAATTTTATCTGCAAATTGGAGCTAAATAAAACTGATAGAACTTGTAAACATAGTAAACATTTGTCTACAAGCTTCTAACACTGTGTGTAAGTGAAATCAGGTTTCCACTTTTCCTGGAATAGTCTTTAAAAGAAGACTTAATTTATGGATAACTTCTTTAATACTGTAAAGGCGATGGTTCGGTATAGATCCTTACTGTTTTGCTTGACAACGCTTAAAGATCTATACCGAAACGTCTCATTTACAGTATTAAAGAAGTTGTTATCCATTAATTGAGTCTACTTTGTCATCCGTCAACTTCTAAGTAATGCCTATCAAACAATTTTGTCTTAAAAATCCTAAATTTCTAAGGCTGCCCCAATGATGTATCCGAGCCAAAATGTCACATAAGTGTGAAATAGGAAGTTGTCCTTGCTGTTTATGAAATGTGTGCTGTCTCCGCTCCAGTCCTTCTACACGACCATGACCTCGGAGTACGGCATCCCGGAGTGGGGGTGCTACCTCATCTTCGCTGTCCTCACCATTGTCTCAGGCCTCCTCCTCGGGCTGGTGAGTAGCGGGGGACATATTGGGCAACAAACAGGTTGGGAAAATCTGATTGGTTGCAAATGATGTTTAATCTGATTCGAAACTTGTAACTTTTCTTCAGGATCTATACCAAAACAGGGTGTTGGGGTAACGTAGTTGTTAAAGCGTTCACTTCTCATCCTGAAGACCCGGGTTCAATTCTCCACTTGGGTAGTGTGAATCCCATTGCTGGTGTCCCCTGCCGTGATATTGCTGAAATATTGCTAAAAGTGGCATAAAACCATACTCACTCACTCATTCTTTCACATTACAGTAGGAGAAAGAAGTTGTTATCCATAAGTTTTTGGTCTACTTTAACTCTTCTGGACTTATTCTTCTGGAGTACATTTCTGAATAAGAGTGACAAATGTGTCATTTAGCCTGGTGAACTATGTATTGTTTTTAGATTGCAGATAAATATGTGTTTTCAGAATTTTCCATGTTATTGTGCATTTGACAGGACATTTTGCATGTATATCTATGGCTAATATTTTTTATTTTATTTTCAAAAACATTTTGCGCCCATCAAGTATTCAGTTTGAGAAAACCTGAAAGTAGTTTATTTGTGGACGTCATTATTATAAGCTGAATAACTGAAACACAGCTGCGGGAGATCACATTGAAGTCGCTGATCATTTTGATTATTCGTGTAAGAAACCTTCTAAATATGAGTGGGGCTGCAGGGTAACCCTAGTGTTTAAAGCATTTGCTCGTGATGCTGAAGGCGTGGGTTTGATTTGAGTCAGTTCTACTTTTCCGATGGATATGTAACATATCAGTTCAATCTGTGGAACTTCTTGAGACAGCTCGGTTTGTCACTACTTTGAAGTTTTTTAAATGCCAAATATATATGCCTCTTTAAATAGTGGTGGTATGTATCTCTAAAGCATTGCCCCGTGACTTGCTGCTACAGCTCATCGTGTGTTGCTGTGATGTGCTGTTTCCGCCCAAATACCAAAGTGTGAGAGTCATTCAGGAGCAGCCTCAAGGGATGGGAGATACTATGGACAGGGAGGACAAGGTAGGTTTGTCATGACACAGGTGTACTCCGGACAGGGAGGACAAGGTAGGTCGTCCTGACACAGGTGTACTCTGGACAGGGAGGACAAGGTAGGTCGTCATGACACAGGTGTACTCCGGACAAGGAGGATAAGGTAGGTCGTGATGACACAGGTGTACTCCGGACAGGGAGGACAAGGTAGGTCATCCTGACACAGGTGTACTCCGGACAGGGAGGACAAGGTAGGTCGTCCTGACACAGGTGTACTCTGGACAGGGAGGACAAGGTAGGTCGTCATGACACAGGTATACTCCGGACAGGGAGGACAAGGTAGGTCGTGATGACACAGGTGTACTCCGGACAGGGAGGACAAGGTAGGTCATCCTGACACAGGTATACTCCGGACAGGGAGGACAAGGTAGGTCGTCATGACACAGGTGTACTCCGGACAGGGAGGATAAGGTAGGTCGTGATGACACAGGTGTACTCCGGACAGGGAGGACAAGGTAGGTCATCCTGACACAGGTATACTCCGGACAGGGAGGACAAGGTAGGTCGTCATGACACAGGTGTACTCCGGACAGGGAGGACAAGGTAGGTCGTCATGACACAGGTATACTCCGGACAGGGAGGACAAGGTAGGTCATCCTGACACAGGTGTACTCCGGACAGGGAGGACAAGGTAGGTCGTCATGACACAGGTGTACTCCGGACAGGGAGGACAAGGTAGGTCGTCATGACACAGGTGTACTCCGGCCAGGGAGGACAAGGTAGGTCGTCATGACACAGGTGTACTCCGGACAGGGAGGACAAGGCAGGTCGTCATGACACAGGTGTACTCCGGACAGGGAGGGCAAGGCAGGTCGTCATGACAAAGGTGTACTCCGGACAGGGAGGGCAAAGTAGGTCGTCATGACACAGGTGCACTCCAGACACAAGCCGAGGTAGGTCGTCATGACACAGGTGTGTGGACGCATTATTCAACAACATCTGAACGGAATGGCGAATGCTGTATCTGACACACAGTATTGTACTTGCAGGATGATGATATCATTGATGACACAAAACAAACAGATAGTGATGATGATGATGAAACTTCTTCAACCACACGACGGAGACAAGTACAGAAGGCGGAATGAGAGGCCATCAGATCGTGGGTGTCTGCAGCGAGTGTGTGTGGTATAAGGTAGTGTGGCTGCTCATTGTACGAGTGAGGGAAGCAAGATTCGCAACATGCAGTAGTGTCTGTTTTATGAATGATGGATGCATGTTTTCTTGTGTCATGTAATAATTCAAATTCAAAGGGACATAACTCTGTACCCATAATTTCTTTATCTGAAAGTTTGATCACTGCTTTCACTTGGAATGGTATCTAGGCAAACAGGGTTTAGTGTAGAGGTTAGAATGATATATGAATTTTAGACATTATATTTAAATAAGGAAATGGGAAATTTATTTCAAATAGCTAGTATGTTTGACATTCACTGATCAATGTCGGTGAAACTTCACAATCAAAAGTTGTCATAAAACATGTGAACCATGGCTGGAGGGCTGTCACCCCAAGTAGTCCACCAACAATGTAGATTGTTGTCTGAAAAAATGGGCTTTGATTAGTTCATCTTCCTTGACCAAAGCCGTGGACTTCAGTAACTTGTTGGTGATTGTTGAGTAACTGATCGTTTGACAGTATCCAGCGCATGGGGAGACTGATGGTTGTTATAGTTGTCGATCAAAGACGTTGTCATGATCTCAGTGCCAACAATGTCAGGGGCTGACCATACCTATATTATATTATCAAAACTACAAATTATACTTTTATTAAAAGTGTGATTGGGAAGAGCTTTATTCAGTTAGAAGGAGTTGTTTGGTGAGTAGTTTTTGAACGATTATAGATTTGCCTGTCTTTTTTCAGGCTAAGTTATTGTTTTATCAATAATTTAGATTTTAATGTGTTGCAAATATTCTGCCCACGTCAGAGGTACAATTTGATCAGTGTTCAGTATTAGCAATGAATAGTTTATTTAAATTTGCATCATAATTAAAACTGTTTTAGTTGCTAGAGAGCAGTGAATATTGATTACAGTACGAAACGGTTCAGTGGATTTAAATACTAGTATGGTATGTGAAAAACAGTGCAAGTAGTTCCAAGGAGATTGACGTAAGTAGTTGCCATGGTTACAGGATTCCTGTCGTCCAACACAACCCTTGTATTGAATTATTTATGTAGATCAACAATGGTCTTTTACATTCAGCATCATGACCTCGCTGTTACACAGTTTATAGCCAACACACGCAGGGATGACTGGGACACCGTACTATTGCAGAGTTGTGTCCCTTAGTTGTGCCAGAATCTGATGATCTGGGACTAGAATTCCAGATTTGTTTTGATTGTGATTCTTGGTTTGTCAGCACCATCCCTGGGCTTGTGGGTGTCACCAATGTGGTAAAAGTGTTGGGCCTGCATCACCTTGAGCCCCCCCCGCCCCCCCCCCCCCCTCCGACATGGACGTTCCGTGATGTGACTGAAAAGCAGTTCAAAGCTCAAAGCAATGGTGAACTGATCTGGTTTCCCGTTAATTACCTTTTTAACAGTATAGCCACATGTGTATGTTATGCCACACCCTCTTTACATATCATTTCATTCCTGATAGTAGAATCGGTTAAGATTGTTGCTCAAGGCTGCAAGTGATCCGTTATCTGGGTGTGCAAGTCTTTGTCAGTTATTTCGATTTTTTTCTTCTTCCTGGCTGTGTGTGTGTTGATCATTTCATAAGTTTGGGATGAATAGGTTAAAAAAAGCATGAATCATAGTTCAGTGAACCCTGAAAGGTTTGTTTTAATATATGTCTCCTGCCTATCGAATTTAGATGAAAATGTGATAATTAATGTAGAGAGGCCTAAGTGACTCCCTCCTCACATGTTGGCTAATAAGTTGGGTGCGTGTGTCTTGTGTGAGTGTGAAGTCTGTGAGTGAGTGAGTGAGTGAGTTGGGCGTCCGCTGCTTTGGGTTGATGTGCAGCTTGTACACAGCATTCCTCTGTAGTATGTATATAGATGAATTGTGTGTATTCCTAATGTAGCAGACCAGGGGATGACATGTCCCCTATGTGCCTGTGTGTACTTTTATTAATAACACTGGTGGGGTTTTAAAGTTGCCTTTTTCGTGTGGAATATTATGTGCACAGTCAAAGATCGTTGTGTCAAACTCTGATGTGTCGAACTTATGATTGTCTCAAGGTAAAAGCTTGGTCCCTACGTATTCCTTCTTTATTCATCATTTTCGATTGTGTCAAACCTCGGATAACTTGAAATAACAGTGTTTGACTGTATTTGGGGTTGAGATACAGCAATGATGCAAGAATTAACTTAATCTTTTGAATAGTAGATTGCTTATATAGTGCTAAAATCATCACAAAATCAGTGATTTCCCAATGACAAACCTGACATCATTTTTATCATTTTAAAAAAACTTTTCAAAGAATGTTTGTGTAATTAATACTTGGTATGTGGATGGGCAATGCAATCCAAGGTTATTTGAAGATATTGGTTAAAGCAGCGCAAAACCATACTCACTCACTCACTCACAGTAATTGATCGTCTTTGACAGGTGTATTAATGATGCCAACACGAGAATGTGGTGCTTATGTGTTGTCTTTCTAGTAGAAACATCAGTCCATGGTAGAAGACACTAAAATTTGCTGTGCAGAGTTACATCCCTTAGCTTTACCAGGATGTACTGATCTTTGGTAAGAATCTCAAATTCACACCGAATTTTGATCGTTGGTCTCAGCACCATATTTGTGCTGATTATTTCAACCAAGTGGTGAACATCTCTGCTTCGAGTTGGACTTCCCTCCATCATCAACATGACACCATCCCATGACTGAAGTACGACTCACTGTGACACAGAACGGCAGCATATTGCCAGCTGTAGTTAATGTGAAGGAAATGAGATTGTTTTGGTTAGAATTGATGACGATGCTGGTTTTGAAAAATAACCAACCTTTCGCTGTTCCTTTGATTTTATGATTGCCTGTTCAAGTTGTGAGTTAAGTCTGACGCACTGAAATATTGTTTATTAATCTATATTGTGTTAATTGCGCACCATGATATTGTCATACTGGAATTACCATATGCCATCGATTGTGTATGAATGATATACAAAGTTCTGTTTAATTTATGATTTACCATGTAATTGTATAACTTCCACATGGAGATAAAGCGTGCAACTTTTACATGTACCCCACTTGTCCTATGATTCTGCTTTTACAAGACATGATTCACGATGCATGTTTTTAATGTCCTTGACACTTACAATAACTTTAGTTCAATTAATTAGTGTTCCTATGTGTCTGTTGACCAAACACTGCCCAGATAGAGTTGGAGGGAAATGGGTATACCGATACTGGTTGATGAACTCGTTACGAAAGGAGTTCACAGAAATGGTTTGCACAGCAGCGAAATCTATGCATTAATTAATGTTCAGTTACATGTTTTTTTATAAGAAAAGCGCAACTAGTTTTAGATTGAAAGCTTCAACCATTCCTGCTACATGTTTGCCATTTTGACATACTTCCTCTGTTGATGAAGCCTAACAGCTGAGATGATGTTCTCATTAATAAGCAATAGCTCTGAAAGTCATCACAGAAAAGTTTAATTCAGCAGCTATGTTGTGCCAACTGCCTCAAGTGGCATGGTCATCAGTGCTTTTAATGCTATTTTTGTAAATAAAAATATTTTCTATTTTCGATCTGTTGCTCCTTTCCACCCATTGTGGTGAAGCAGGTGCAGAGGGAGTCCTGAGAGTGGAGATTGGAAGGGTACAATGGCCGCTTTGTGTGGTGAAGCAGGTGCAGAGGGAGTCCTGAGAGTGGGGATTGGAAGGGTACAATGGCTGCTGTTTGGTGAAGCAGGTGCAGAAGGAGTCCTGAGAGAGGGGATTGGAAGGGTACAATGGCTGCTGTGTGGTGAAGTGTGAGTACAATGGCCGCTGTGTGGTGAAGCAGGTGCAGAGGGAGTCCTGAGAGTGGGGATTGGAAGGGTACAATGGCCATTGTGTGGTGAAGCAGGTGCAGAGAGAGTCCTGAGAGTGGGGATTGGAAGGGTACAATGGCTGCTGTGTGGTGAAGCAGGTGCAGAAGGAGTCCTGAGAGAGGGGATTGGAAGGGTACAATGGCTGCTGTGTGGTGAAGCAGGTGCAAAAGGAGTCCTGAGAGTGGGGATTGGAAGGGTACAATGGCTGCTGTGTGGTGAAGCAGGTGCAGAGAGAGTCCTGAGAGAGGGGATTGGAAGGGTACAATGGCTGCTGTGTGGTGAAGCAGGTGCAAAAGGAGTCCTGAGAGTGGGGATTGGAAGGGTACAATGGCTGCTGTGTGGTGAAGCAGGTGCAGAAGGAGTCCTGAGAGTGGGGATTGGAAGGGTACAATGGCTGCTGTGTGGTGAAGTGTGAGTACAATGGCCGCTGTGTGGTGAAGCAGGTGCAGAGGGAGTCCTGAGAGTGGGGATTGGAAGGGTACAATGGCCATTGTGTGGTGAAGCAGGTGCAGAGAGAGTCCTGAGAGTGGGGATTGGAAGGGTACAATGGCTGCTGTGTGGTGAAGCAGGTGCAGAAGGAGTCCTGAGAGAGGGGATTGGAAGGGTACAATGGCTGCTGTGTGGTGAAGCAGGTGCAGAAGGAGTCCTGAGAGTGGGGATTGGAAGGGTACAATGGCTGCTGTGTGGTGAAGCAGGTGCAAAAGGAGTCCTGAGAGTGGGGATTGGAAGGGTACAATGGCTGCTGTGTGGTGAAGCAGGTGCAGAGAGAGTCCTGAGAGAGGGGATTGGAAGGGTACAATGGCTGCTGTGTGGTGAAGCAGGTGCAAAAGGAGTCCTGAGAGTGGGGATTGGAAGGGTACAATGGCTGCTGTGTGGTGAAGCAGGTGCAGAAGGAGTCCTGAGAGTGGGGATTGGAAGGGTACAATGGCTGCTGTGTGGTGAAGTGTGAGTACAATGGCCGCTGTGTGGTGAAGCAGGTGCAGAGAGAGTCCTGAGAGTGGGGATTGGAAGGGTACAATGGCTGCTGTGTGGTGAAGCAGGTGCAGAAGGAGCCCTGAGAGAGGGGATTGGAAGGGTACAATGGCTGCTGTGTGGTGAAGCAGGTGCAAAAGGAGTCCTGAGAGTAGGGATTGGAAGGGTCCAATGGCTGCTGTGTGGTGAAGCAGGTGCAGAAGGAGTCCTGAGAGTGGGGATTGGAAGGGTACAATGGCTGCTGTGTGGTGAAGCAGGTGCAAAAGGAGTCCTGAGAGTGGGGATTGGAAGGGTACAATGGTTGCTTTGTGGTGAAGCTGGTGGAGAGGGAGTCCTGAGAGTGGGGATTGGAAGGGTACAATGGCCGTTGTGTGGTGAAGCTGGTGGAGAGGGAGTCCTGAGAGTGGGGATTGGAAGGGTACAATGGCTGCTGTGTGGTGAAGCAGGTGCAGAGGGAGTCCTGCGAGTGGGGATTGGAAGGGTACAATGGCTGCTGTGTGATGAAGCAGGTGCAAAAGGAGTCCTGAGAGTGGGGATTGGAAGGGTACAATGGTTGCTGTGTATGGTGAAGCAGGTGCAGAGGGGGTCCTGAGAGTGGGGATTTGAAGGGTTCAATGGCCGCTTTGTGTGGTGAAGCAGGCGTAGAGGGAGTCATGAGAGTGGTGATTGGATGGGTTACGACGGCTGTTGTGTGGTGAAGAGGCGCAGAGGGAGTCATGAGAGTGGAGATTGAATGGGTACAATGGCCGTTTTGTTGAAGTGTGAGTACAATGGCTGCTGTGTGGTGAAGCAGGTGCAGAGGGAGTCATGAGAGTGGAGATTGGATGGGTACAATAGCCGTTGTGTGGTGAAGTGTGAGTACAATGGCTGCTGTGTATTGTGAAGCAGGGATTGGGTGGGTACAATGGCCGCTGTGTGTTGTGAAGCAGGGATAGGGTGGGGATTGCGTGGGTACAATAGCCGCTGTGTATTGTGAAGCAGTGATATGGTGGGGATTGGCTGGGTACAATGGCCTGTGTGTATTGTGAAGCAGGGAAAAGGATGGGGATTGGCTGGGTACAATGGCCGCTGTGTATTGTGAAGGAAAGGGGTAGAGTGGAGATTGAGAGAGGTGATTCTGTATCTATGTCCATGTGCGAAATCGGCACCCCCGGAAGCACTCGTTAAGTCTCCAAGATCGTCATCACCATGTTAATGTATGAGAATTGTGATCCCTTCGCGCTAAGATCGCTTTGTAGCACAGGATCCAGGTCCAGGACATGACGGATGCCATTCATGTAGTTCCATAGGGCCGTAAAAGGGTTGGCAGTCCTTGCTTCAGGTTCACAATTCCTTTAACTGAAACGAAGAGAAACCTGTAAGTGGTGGATTATAACCTTTCGTCACACGACCTGTAAAGATAGAATAGGTCATCAGCAAAAGGCGACTAACAATTGTGTGGATTGATGCTCATGATGTCAATCACTGGATCCAGACTCGATGATTTACAGACCGCCGTCATATAGCTGGAATATTGCTGAGTACGGCGTTAAACAACAAACAAACAAACGAATAAACACAAAGGACACAAATTGTCATCAGCAGCTGGCATATGCCGGTACAATATGTAGAAAGTTGTTTGACAGCCCTTCACTTGTTGTGGGGTTGGGACTCACGACACACTGACCAATTACGTTTTACAAAAATACATTGTTTCAAATCCTCGGCCCCACAGCAAGTCAAGTCCCTGGGCAAACGTTGCTGGCAAACGTTGCTGCCCAGCCGCGGTAGGATGTGTGTTTGTTTGTTCGTTGTTTGAGCATCAATTCACTCAATTTGGATACGATGACATGTACAACCAAATCAGCGAGCCTTATCCCGTTATTCGCATAGTTGCCTTTTAGGACAAGCATGGACTAGGAGAAACAATTATATTCTTTATGATGTTTCAGAAGGAGATTGTGAATCCCATGAAGCATGCAGAGATAAGCATGTTTTAGATACTATTAACAGAGCTAGAAATATTCCAGCTATATGACGGCTGTCTGTAAAAAATCGAGACTGGACCAGACAATCCAGCGATTGATATCGTGAGAATAGATCCACGCAACTGGGATACGATGACATGCATCAAACCGAGCTGCCCACCCGATCCCGTTAGTCGCCTTTAAAGCAAGTTAGGTTGCTGAAGAGATATTCTAACCCGGATCTTCACGAGTCGACCTAACATATAAACAACGGCGTGTACTTAAATCCTATATTTTTATTCGGTGATTTTACCATATACACCTATCTCATTAAAATCAGATCTTAGTTTTCGCTACCGCTAAACAAAGATCTGAGGACACCCCATTACGGGTCACGTCAGAACGACCTTTCGCGAATTTTGACCGATCAATGAAATGACTGACAAGAAATCGACATTAGCCAATCAGAGGGCAGCTTTCTCGAGCTTTACGACACCAGTTTCAAACTGGCGACTACGCTTCGAAACATATTTTGACGTTTTCTCAATTAAATCTTTTTAAACTGATAAGATGAACATTCGGGAATGGCTTATAGATGGCCTAGATTGTATGGATATAATCATAAAACCCGTAACTTTCGTTCGGAATACCCCGTGTTAAATATTTTGTGGTTGCATGATTAGAAAACACATTCCGACTGTCACTTTCATGATCTGGTAAGCGACGCTTTGATTGGTTGGATGAAAGGTCGTTCTGACGTGACCCTTAATCGGATGTCCTCAGATCTTTGTTCGGCGATAGCGAGAACTAAGATCAGATTTTAATGAGATTGCCATATACACCAGATCACGTGAGATTGCGAGTGAGGAATTGGCTTCAGTCTTTAGCGGGTAGTGTGGACTAGAGTGAGTGAGTGAGTATGGTTTAACGCCGCTTTTAACAGTATTCCAGTTATATCACGGCGTGTCAGCTTGTTGTGGGAGGAAAGCCCGAAGTGATGCAGGTCTCAGACGTTTACCACTTCGGTGAAACCCACGAGCACGGGTATGGAGCTGACAAACCTAGAAACAATTGGGGCGAAGCGGGATTCGAACCCACAATCATAGGGTTCTGGCGTACCCAAGGGACGCAACTCTGCACAGCGAATCGCGGCGCCTTAGACGACTGGGCCACCCGTGCCCCCAGTGTGGACTAGAACTAGACTTGATAACAAGCCAGGGAGGGATATGGCACGTGGTCCTACTTGTTCCCTGGTGCCTAGGGGAATCCCAATCAAACTTCAACTTCCCGGTAAGTTTAATCTATCCATTCTCCTTCAGCACCAGGTCACGTGAGACCCCGCGAGATTTAAAAGCAGGTCCACAGTACACACCTGATAAAACAGAACAGTTCTTTATAAAACATCATGTTTAATACTAAATACTAAAAACAATACAAAATGCTAAATACACACATGAAGAAAAAACTTGTTATAATCATTCTGAAATTTCAAATGTTGAGCTCATTGAGCTCAATACCCAGAGGAAACATGTTTCACGGGCTTACAATAAAACTTTGTAAACACATTCACAGAAAACCACCCAGCAGCTGCCATGACTGTTTGAATGGGTGCACCTATACAACTGGCTGCGCTGGTAGCAGCTGCCATGACTGTTTGAATGGGTGCACCTAGACTACTGGCTGTGCTGGCCTACTGCTATGTCCTAAAAACACAGTAATGTCAATATCAGCCTTTTGGGGTGGGTGGGTGGGTGGGGTGGGGGGTGGGGGTGTATTCTTTTACGACCCTGACACAGTCTCTCTGCTTACGGTCCTTAAGTGACTCAACAGCAGTTGGTCATGGACACACATGGATCTGCCCGGTATACACTAGTCCTCTCACTCACCACACACAGTCTCTCATTCTCAAATCTCTCTAATTCTATAGGTTTTAAATGACTACCTGGTCCAGACTGCTTAACTAAATCAGTGAGAATAACAACTACTTTGTTGTTTGATTCTGACATATATTTCAATTTCAGCAAATGTAATGACTGAGCTCTTTGGCCAGAAACCAATGCTAATAACACATTAAATTTAAACGTCAAATCTTTGCGTGAGAGCTCAAAATTTTCTCCCAGTCTTTCCAAGTAAACTTCGTTTTGGTGGACGATTTCGCCTGACGTTTTTATCGTCTGTTTTAGGCTATTTCCGTTTTTAAATTTGATTTTGGTCAAACATTTGTGATTAAGTATGCTCTATATTATTATAATCTGCAAAGTTGCTCTGTTGACTTTACTTGCCCTTTAATGTCCAATTACAATATAGCAACGAAACAACTGCCAACGTACACATTGAATTCAATGAACCTAAGGAGTTCCAAATATGCTACCTTATAATTGTATATACACCCATTACTATATGACATGAACTAGTAGGCCTATGGCGGGTTTTTTAGCTTTATGTGTCCTATTAACACTCTTGTATCATTTTACTCTTGACACAAACGTTTACTTTTTTGTATTGTATTCAAATCATTCTCAAATGAAAATCCTATTTCTATATTGACTTCACTAATGATTTGCAAAAGGAAAACACTTAGTTTATCTGTAAGTCTTAAGTAGTTAATTTCAGATTGGTTATTACTTATAGTTTCATTTAAACAACAAAGTACCAAGGGATAAATCTGTTTAACTCTTTTAACCTTAGCAAAACTAGTGTGTACTAGAAAACATATATAAAAATACTTAGATCTTTAAAATAGGATACTATGGCTGTTTCTTAGAGGTAAACATTAATTTATTCAGTGCGGCCATTTCCGATTTTCAAGTGGTCAACCTGTTTTTTTAACAAGCATTCCAAGGCGATAAGTCATACTAATGTTGCTGCTTGTTTCTTTATTTGAACGATTCTTAGCTAAAAAGGCTCCAATATGCACGGCTATGATGGCTTCATTTGCTTCACTGCCTTAAGTATCATCCTCTGTTCATCCTTTGTTTATGTTCATGCTACGTATTTGCACATCTAAGAGTAAATTTATGTGTTGCATTGAACCTCATACACACCGCAGTGGCCATACGCCTCAGTGGCGTACAGAAGTCACGACTCATCCAGCAGGACACAGATGGGTTTACCAACGCCATCAGGAGCAGTCCGATATTCTAAGAGAAATGTTCCTTTCTTATCAAACACACAGGCTCCTGCAAAGTCATAGTCTGCAACAAACACGGTGCCATCCTCCGAGACACAAACATCATTGGGTTTCCAGGTTGCTGTGCTAAAACATTTTGTTTGAACTTTGTTCTTGCTGGCCGTGACCCGGACACATGATCCACCCCATTCACACAAGGCAATATGGCCGCTGGGGGTGAAACTAGAGCTGATACTGGAGAGACAGCATAATATCGTTCAGTCCCATCTGTAAAGTAATATTGGAGATTCTTTTTATTGGGAATGTTTCCAACTACGAACCCCTGTTCTTTGGAACCAGTCAGACAATAAGTGAAGATAAGACTTTCACTTGGGACCTTGTGGTGCAAAAGGATCTTCTTCATGATCTGCAATGAATTGTCAAATATAAAGAGGTAGTTCTCATGGATAACACCAATACTTTCATTTGCGATTGCAACAGCAATCGGTTTAAATGCATCCATTTTAATCTTCCTTTAAAAATCCCCATCAGTGGTAGAGAATTTGACTTTTTCATTAGCCATGTCGGCAAATACCCGCC